TATATATATATATACCCGCACCCGAAAAATGCATATACTATATATATTTTTCGGGTGCGTGCGAACCCTGTTATCAATTTTTGCTTATTTTTATAAATTTAATGAAACACCAATACTTTTTGAAAAGCTTTTCATGGAGCTTTTCGAATTTTGAAAAATAAGGTCTCAAGCACTTCTTATTTTGGAAAAATAACAATGGATTTTTTTTTATTTTTTTTTTTATTTTTTTTTTTTTATTTTNTTTTTTTTTTTGCGTTTTGAAACTTGCGCTATTTCCTCCCAATTTAGTAAAACTAGAAATGATCAAAACCTAGCCCTAACAGTCACAAATACAAATAATTATTACTAACTCACCATATTTATATACAAAAAAAAGCTTCGTCTTCTAGTGATGTTCGCTGTGCTCTGTTGTTGTTTTAGGGAATATAATTTTTGGATCGCAATTGATTATTATTTTTTTTAAATAAAATAAACAAGTTTTGCTTTTTGTTTCAATTTTAGTGCTGTGGGGGAACTCTAAGCACAGAGGGTGGGACAAAGGCACGTTATCACCTCCTACATCAGGAAGCCTCCACACGGGATTTATTAGTAGTCTGCGCAGAGTATTTAAATAGAGAACCAGTTGTGTGCATGAACCCATTTTAAAAGTAGTACCTGAGAGAAATTTATCAAGCATATTTGAAAACTGAATCTGTAGTGGTTGACAAGTAGATAAGACAAACCAATAATATTTATAAATTAAACAAATGTTTAGACATATATTTGCTACCTCTTTCTAATTTTTATTAGATTTTCTATTAAATGACTCTTTCCTTAAACTGGCATATATTCATAGTGGTCAGATCGGACTACCTATAATAAAACTGTGTGGAGGCTTAGACGTTGCATTGCCGTGATGAAAGAGTTAACTCATCCATGCAAATTTCTCACCTTCTACTTCATATACCTTCTACTTTTCCTCGTATAATCTGCGCGACTTTGATCATCGCTCTTAACTACAATTTTAATTCGCTTCATTAAATGTCTTGTCACGTAGTATTAAGCTGTTATAAGAATAGAATCGCTAACATCTGTTTACTTTGTTAATAATCATGGTAACTATTTGCTTCTAGGTAATCATTGGATGTTCAGGAGGCAGCTATGTCGATCATCTGCCAGACATTTGTGCAGAATGCTTGGCGTAGTGACCTCTGCTCCAATTGCTTTAAGTCTTTAGAGGATCATTCGGAGTCTACGGGGATAAGAAGTGATAAGATGTCCACTCAGAGATATGTGCCTCAAGCTCCCTCTTTATACCAGGTAAAACATTTTTATCGTGTTAATTTTTTTTAAACAAATTCTTATTACATTAATTGATAAGTAATATAGTTACGGCTGAACCGTTTCTTTTCAATTCTTATGAAAAGAAATCTAAAGCACTCCGAATCAGTACAACTTAAATATCCCGCTTTATAGACATAGCGTTTTATCTTAATTCTGATTGCATTAATTGATAAGCAATTTAATTACAACTAAACATTTTCTTTTTAATTCTTGAGAAAAGAAATATGTAAAGCATTCTGAATCAGTACAACTTGTATAAGCTGTTTTGTAGATGAAACGTTTTTTATCTGGTTACTCAATCCTGATTACATTTGTTGATATGCAATTTAATTACGGTTGAACCACTTCTTTTCAGCTCCTAAGAAAAGAAATACAAAGCATTCTGAATCAGTGCAACTTGTTTCAGCCGTTTTGTAGATGAAACATTTCGTCTGATTACTCAGTCCTGATTACATTAATTGATTTGCAATTTAATTACTGTTGAACCATTTATTTTCAGTTCCTAAGAAAAGAAATATAAAGCATTTTGAATCTGCACAACTTGTATAAGGAGTTTTGTTGATGAAACCTGATGACTCAATCCTGATAACATTAATTGATATGCAATTTAATTACGGTTCAACTGTTTCTTTTCAGTTCCTAAGAAAAGAAATATAAAGTATTTTGAATCTGTTCAACTTGTATAAGGAGTTTTGTAGATGAAACGTTTTAACTGATTATTCAATCCTGATTAATTTAATTGATATGCAATTTAATTGTGGTTAAACCATTTCTTTTCAGCCCCTAAGAAAAGAAATATAAAGCATTCTCTATCAGTACAACTTGAATATGCTGCTCTACAGACCAATTTATAATCCGTATGAAACCCAAATGATAAAATTTGCGCAAGAATTGAATTTTGCACCATTTGTGGTACATTGCCAAAAAGTAGATAGAATAACAGCTGATAGTTCTGGGTTATTAAAAATGAACACGAAAGAATTGCGCGTTTACATTGTTGAATATGTTTTTGAACATTGTTGTGCTGCTTCCTTGTCTTATAATGCCGTCGCGTTCTGGTTATCAGAATTCCAGATCATTTTATTTAACGTCATGGGATTTTTTTCCCTAATGAATAAATGAGGCATCAACTTAATTGAGCTACATTTATGCAAAATGGTTAATGGAAATTTCAACATAAAAGTGCATATGTGGTGTGGCAATGCCCCTCCTCCACCAGTTGCCTGTTATGTTGCTCAATATTTAATCTTATATTGCATACTTTATGAATCTGTGAATAGTTCAGAATCATTCATTTGAAACACGTGTTTTCTTTTAAAATTACTTCTTACGTTAATTTCGAAACATCCTATCGAAAAAGGCTGTGAATTTACGTTTAAAACAATTGGAATTTTCTTCTCTTAATTAACACTCTACTTTTACTACCTATATGACTTCATTTCAAAATGCTTATTTTCAAATTATTAACTGTCACCGAAGACATTATTGTCTATGTACTTCAGACTGAAAATTGAAAAATTAAAAATCTTAGTGAATATATAATTAATAATTATAGAATATTAATATATAATAGATGTACAAAACAAGTGGTGTAACAACTTGTGGATCAATATATCAAAAGTAAAGTTTATGTTAAACATAAATACTTCTTTAACATGTGTGAAAAGAATTTTTTTTAAAATTTCTTCAAGCATATATAAATTGAACGTTTTAAGGATAAATTACTGTAGAGTTTATAGGGTTCCCACGACCTGGAAAAAATAAATGAGTGGTAGCTAAGATTTTTCAAACCTACTCTAAAAATGCCTATTCTAATAATCTTTCATTTGTGAATTACGAAATTATTTCCGAATAATTTTTTGTACCCATATATATTTCTTTTAAATTGAATTTTTATTGATACCTTAAACCATCTAGATACATCTCGGTATTGCGACCACTTTAAAAAACATTCAACTGCGAAGGAACTCTTGGTCAGTAGTCTTACACTACCGTACTCATTTGCATCATTGATACTTATGTAGTGATAAAAAGTGGTACATGTATGTTCAATGGCGGGGGGAAAAAGGATAAGTTTTAAAGAATATAGTGGTAAGCTGATATGATGCGGCGTAACTATCACAATTATTAAACATCAGTCAACTATTATATAAGACATGCTAACTCAAATCAATCTTGGTCTATCTTTTGATAGATGATAATGGTTAACATTGTCGAATGCTCATTCCCCCTAATGACGTCAGCAGTGGCGTATCTACCACAATTATTAAACATCACTTCACTGTTATATACGACATGCTAACTCGATTCAATCTTGGGCTGCCTTTTGATAGATAAAGGTCAACATTATCGAATGCTCATTCCCCCTCCCAAGGACGTCAGCATTGACGTAACTACCACAATTATTAAACATCAATTTATTATTATTTAAGACATGCTAACTCAATTCAATCTTGGTCTATCTTTTGATAGATGATAATGGTTAACATTGTCGAATGCTCATTCCCCCCAATGACGTCAGCATTGGCGTAACTACCACAATTATTAAACATCACTTTACTATTATATAAGACATGCTAACTCAATTCATTCTTGGGCTACCTTTTGATAGATAATACAATACTTAATAATTTTGATAGATAAACCTAAATTTTATACTCTCCAACGTTTCAGAGTCGAGGTATCTCAACGAGTTTGAAGTGGCGTCTGAATGAACCACTGTATGACAGAGTGGCGAAAAGAGACTTCGCATCGCAGACACCTCCCAAGACTCAGCAGATAGAAAAACAGAACGAAAAATCGGAAGGAAAGGGTATTCTTATCAAAGACTCTGATCGAAAACTTAGAAGGTAAGAAAATCTTGGAACTACAATCGAAGCACTCTGAATAAAAAAGACAGATCAAGGCAGAAACTGCATTTTCTTAGAATTAAACTACTTTGCCATTTAAGAGCAAAATAAGCTAACTAATAGATCATATCTACATATTTTTTAATTATTGATTTGTTGTGATAAGTGATTTTTTTCTTCTTTAAATTAAAAATCTATAAGTCAAAAAGCTATAATGTTACCACAAAGAAAAATTTTTCTCAACGGCCGTACAAGTTGGCAGCTGTGTTAATGTGCGACAGTATACACTCCTGCCATCTTCATTTCATTTGCTGAAGTATCAAATGAATTGGAATAAGACCAAAACTCCCATATCCCGACTTTAAAATTTATCCAACGAGAAACGAACTTATTTTTTAATTTTCTATCATTCTTTTATTTAAAAATTCGACGTCAGTTGTTATGTGCCGCTTTTATTCGGGGCGCCTCAATTTCCACAACAACGACTTTCAGCTTAAGAACCTGTTTTACAGTTATAATTTTTTAGTCAAGAAAAAGTAACAAAATCTCAATTCTCTTATGTTATCATAATGTACCAACAGTAGGGACACTATACAATTAAATAAAAAAATATTTATATACAGTCAAAACTATTGTATATAAGTTTAAGAACACGCCATTTTTAAAAAAATTAACAAAAAAAGATTCGCACATTCCTCTTAAACATCATTGTCAGGGCCCGTAAAGCATTCGCCACCTCGCCAAACGCGATAAAATCGTAAATTTGGCGAATGAAATTGCGTTTTGGTGAAAGTATTGGTGAATGACTTTTTCCACTGAAAAGAAAAATATATATTTAACTCCATCTTCAAAATTACGTTAAAATAAATTTTTCTAAGCAAATCAGTATTTTTTATTCGATTAAGTACTAATTTTTGGTAGAACCATCGCATAACCAATTAGAATTGGGTTCAAATAATATAAGCCTGAAACAAACTACCGTAAAATAGTTTTCTATGGGAAAAAATTAATCATAAAAAATTGTTAAGATTTGCATTTGGCAATGACTTTCGAAAATTTGCCAATACTTTTGATATTCGGCTAATTTACAGGCAAATAATTTGAAATGCTTAGCGCGGGCCCAGCATGGTGTACAACAAAAACCTTTCATGCGAGGACTCATTCGTTAAATATTAAACAAAGTAGTAAAAATGTCATTTATAAAATAAATTGACTCACTCGAAGTGAAATCGAGTCATATTGCAGATTCTTATGGAGAAAAAAAATTTGCAAAAAAAGAACTTGCTGAAAAAAAAATTTATATAATTTTTCAAACTTTTTCGACCAAAACTAGAATTAGAGGGCCGTTTTGAAATTTGACTCAATTTAACAAAATCACGCAACTGCAAATGGTTTACAGTGTCTTTTGCTTTTGCTAAAAAAACAAACTTAAATCATTTATGTGAATCATAATTGTACCCTGATATTTAGTTGATTATCTGGGAGTGGATTTCGTATCGACCAGCCATCCCTGGGATTCAAAACCGGGTCGCTTCACCGGGAGTCGAACACTCTATCCCCTGGGCCACCACGACTCTTGTTAATTGATATGTTTAATTCACATGAATTAATTTAAATTTATATTAATTTCATTTGTTGAATGAGCATACAAGTGTTCGTGATAATAATTGCTCACTTACTAGGTTAATATTACTCACAACTTCTATACATTTTAATGCCAAGCTATTATTTTTAAACTATTACTATTGATTATCCTTTTTCTAATATAATAGGCTAATCAAAAAAGGAAATCTACTACTCGTTTTCCCGATTATTCCGAGCTATCCCAGATTCTTACTTATTGCAATTAATTCATACTTCATGAAAATTCGGGCAACGCAAGCAGGGTTGGCATGGTTTAAACTGCTTGATTTAGATCCTGAATTAAACCATCTGATTTTGGGAGGCATTGGGAGATTGGAAGGGTTAATATTACTCACAATATTACTAGGTTAATATAACTCACAACTTCTATACATATTAATGCCAAGCTATTATTATTAAATTATTACTATTGATTATCCTTTTTCTAATATAATAGGTTAATCGAAAAAGGAAATCTACTACTCGTTTTCCCGATTATTCCGAGCTATCCCAGATTCTTACTTATTGCAATTAATTCAAACTTCATGAAAATTCGGGCAACGCAAGCAGGTTGTTGGCATGGGTTAAATCGCTTGATTTAAATCCTGAATTAAATCATATGATTTTGGGAGGCATCGGGACATTGGAAGGTAAATATTACTCACAATATTAGTAGGTTAATATTACTCACAACTTCCATACATATTAATGCCAAGCTATTATTATTCGATTATTACTATTGATTTTCCTTTTTCTAATATAATAGGCTAATCAAAAAAGGAAATCTACTACTCGCTTTCCCGAGTTATCCCAGATTCTTACTTATTGAAATTAATTCATACTTCAATAAAATTCGGGCAACACAAGCAGGGTTGGCATGGTTTAAGCAGCTTGATTAAAATCCTGAATTAAATCATCTGATTTTGGGAGACATTGGGACTTTGGGGAGGCAATCGCTTTATCCTCAGCAACTCCGGCAACTACTATAGGCTAGTTTTATTATTTTGTTCTTAATGTTAAACAATGACATGCTTTTCTTTTGCAGTCGATCCAATGTTGATTTCGCATCCGAAGAAGCACTCGTCATAGGGTATGGAGGCAATGACTATGACTCCGACTTGTCACCCTGGGAAATGGGATCAGACGATGGTTCCATAGACTTTGATCAACTCGATGACAACGATGAAGATAGGAAGATAACGAAACTCACTAAGAACAACACAGAATTCAATTCCTCCAATCAGAATCTCCTGAAGCCCGATGCCACCGAGACGCTTATCCGAAAGGAAGAAGAGAAAAGAAAAAACACTAATAGCAACATCAACAATACGAAAGCACCGGCGACAACTGAAAAGAATGTAAATATTACCTACAACGAAATTCAAGCCCAAAAGAAGCAGAGCCAATATTATTATCCGTCACCAACAGATCAACTAAAATCTTATTTGCACAAAACCTCAAATAGTGTAGATACAACTTCTCAGAAAAATAATAAAGAACAATCAAAACTGATAGATATTAACAGAGTAAATATCAGCAATGGAGAGATTACGAAAGAAAACTGCAAAAACTTGTTAAATGAAAACTTCACGCCTCTAAATACTCGCACATATTCTTTTGTATCTGAGCTTAGTAAGCATAATGTGATATCAGAGCACAGCTCAGATTCAGATTATTCCACATGCAGACTCACAGCTGGTGATTCTACGGACTCAGAATCTTTTCAAGATGCTGACGAATCTAGAATTGAGCCCTGCCCATCATTCCTTCATGGTAATTATCCTAAAGGACTATCGCACTCCGCTATTCGCGCCTTGGAATGTGAGAAAAAATATGATGGTGGTTCTTCGACGTCTGGAGACATTTCTAATCTTTCCGACGATTCAGACACCCTCGAATGTTCGGAAGTAACGAACTACAAATTAAAAACATCGCGAAATGTGAAAAATTCTCAAGAAGTGGAAAACAAAAAACTCTCGAAAGAAATTGTTATGATTTCATCAAGCGAGCAGATATTACCAACCCATGCAATCAATCAAAATTTTGAACTGCGATCAAAGGAAACAAATTTTGAATGCCATCAAATCAAGTGTGGTTTCCCTGATAATAATAAACATGCATTAAAAGAAAATACAACCCCTAAGCGTTCAGTTGAAGATAAAAAAGAAAGCCCTATTGGAAAAGAAAGCAAAGGAATAAGGAAGTCAGACGATGTTGTTAGCATAAAAGTTGACTCTAAGAGCAGCTCTTCTGTTGAAAAGGTTGTTAACAAAGAAAAACATAATATGACTGCTCCTTCCAGCAAACTGATGGACAACACCAATTCTACCAGTTCTGGTGAATGTGTAACACCTAAAAAACGCTCAACCTCAAACGAAAATAAAAAATTACCGAATAAAACAACACCGACGACAACCCCACAATCAAATGACGATGTTGAAGTAGCACGAAAGCAATCTCGCAGATCACCTCCAAGCAATCAAACAAACAAACATCAATCTCAAGAAATCGATAATAAGATTAAAGAAACTGATGAACAGCAAAAGAAATCAGCAAGCGAAAGAAATGAAAGAGATTTTATAGACAGTAGTGATTGCGAAGCATCCCCAGATACTATAGCTCACAGACAATCCAAGCTGGCAGCGTTGGCCTTAGAGTTGGAATTAGCCAGGAGAGATTCTGCTCGGCCCAACAGCATTAACATACCAGTTACGTCTCAAACAGCACCACCTCTGATGCAGAGAACCAGCATTACACCAGAATCTGAGATGACTAAACCACCCGATCACATTCCAGCGTCTCGGCAAAACAGCGCGCCATCTTCCGTTTCAAAGCTTTCTCAACTACCCGATATTCTTCAGGAAACCCCCACGAAATCGAAGAAAAATCGATTCTCTTTGAAGAAGCTGTTGAAACGCAACAAAGATAGCAGCTCTTTATCTATAACCCCATCAAGCAAGGAAACGAACCCTAAAGCATGGAAGAAACAGTCGTTTGACAGATCCAGATTAAGTCTTGAAATAGTACACCCTATGGATATGACTAGTGATCTCGCTACTAGTGGAGAAAGCACCCCGACTGAAGAAAGCCATTATACAATATCGAGTCATCCCGGTAAGGGTCTGTTCAAGAGTGGATATAGCAGGGCAAGGAGCCTCTCTGCCTTGCCTCAAATTGCATTGGAATCGAACGAACGGTCTAATTGTTCTCTGATAGACTGCCGAAAAGTAGAAACGCTACCATCAAGAAAAGCTGGAACAGTAGCTGAAAGAAAGAAAAATCGAGTAAGTACATTTGCGAATATTCCAGAGATGAAAACTTGCTTCGCCACTTTGTAAAAAAAGTATTTTCTAATGGTATCCAAAACTTATGCTATTTTTAGTTCAATATTTTCCATTTTAAGTAATTTTTCCACCACATATAGAAAATTCAAAGTATCATATAAAATGCATGTGTGGTTGTATTACGTGAGGGCTACTTTGGCAGAGCGACATGCTCGCCAAACGCTGTGCAAAGCTTGGAGGTAGCGGGTTCGTATCCCGCTTTTACTCTGGATGTATCTTCGGGCTGCCCTTCGCTTAGTTGTGCGATCTGTCCTTCTATTTTACAGCGTTTTCTAAACATAAATTGAGCACACAAGCCTGCAAATATATTTGTAATTCCAATAAACCAATACGTTTATCAAGATCCCCCTCATGCTGCCGTTATGATTCCTGCCTCCTTCGTGTGATTACGATGCAAGCTTTGCGGGAAGCAGGACTACTACTATAATAAAAGTAGTGACTAGCATATAATAAAAAAGTTACAAATTTCTTTATATTATCTTTTACTTTAAATTTAAAATTTAGAACTGAACTATTTAGTAAATTGATTTATTTATTTAGAAAGATTAAATATTACGGTGAATTATTAAAAACTACGAATAAAAAATGCATTTCATTAAATTTAGCACTTATAAAACCCTTTTATTTCCTTAATTTAGCTATTACTTTTTAAGTTGAGAATCGAACCGCAGGCTCTTAGGGAGAAAGTTATTGGGAATGCTCGAAATGATAGACCATGCTAGTGAGGGTTCAGCCCGATATTGAAACCCTTAAACGAAACAGGAGATCGTTACCTAAAAAGAGATTTAGTATTCGGGTACATGATGTTGTTGCTGATGTTGGCCATTAAGGCACTGGGAGTGCGCTTATTCTTGTTTTCCAGTGGCTTCAATGGCCAAAAATTCGACTTCTAACACCCTCATATGTCACACCCGATTATAGGGCGGACCCATTCATACATCCATTCATTCATCGGCTCGTAATTTTGAACGATCACTCTCCTATTCAGTACCCCCAGAAGTTTAATTTGTTACGGAAACATGGAGGACTTTGTGACCGGACAGATTTCGCATGCACCAGCCACCATTTACAATACGGGGAGTCATCGGCTGGCTGGATTCGAACTCCGGTTCTCTCGAACGTGAGTCTAGAGCCCTACCAACCAGACTATCCCGGCAACATCGGGTACATGCTGAAGTTTCTATATACTTTCTTACTACTTTCAGACCACATATATACAATCACACTATGCTTTTTGCAAAAATATTTTATACAGTGGTAGACAATTAAAAACTAAAGCTTTTAGAAATTTTGCTAATTTTTTCCATATTTTAAAAGCTTCACCACGATAGAGCTGGAACAAAGTAGCATTTCACATAAATTATTGAATTATTTGCATGTAGTGGTGTGAGAAGTAACTTTAAATTAATTTTGAAATGTAAAAAAGTATAAATATATTTAAACGTAAACTTAGCTACCACTAGAATAAATTTTCCCAAACTGTGCATAACGTTGCCCTACCTGAATACAAATTATATGGTTCAATAAATTTAATAGTTCAAGGTTCTCACGGGTAATTAAAAAAATTTTAGTGGTAACAAAATGAGACTAACTTGGGATCAAGTAATGCATTTTTTGACCACCACTATGTGCTATTTTGTATAGAAAGTTAACAGGACAGCCAAATTTCAACGCTTTTTGTGAAAATTTATTTTAGTGGTAGCTAAGTTTATGTTTTAATGTATTATTTTTTATTCATTTATATTTATTTTCCTCACCACTATATATAAATAATTTAAAAGTTCATAAAGAACAACACTTTGTGTCAGCTCCGATCTAATGAGGCGTTTAATACATCAGCAAAATTACCAAAAATTCTGTAAACTTTGGTTTCGATATGTTTACCAATCTATAAAATATTTTGCAAAAAGCGTGGTAGCTCGCAAGCCTGAGTATTTTTTTACAAGAACTGTAATCTACTAAACCTCTACACGTTAAAATAGCATTTAAATAAAAAAAGAATATTGCTACCAGTATTAAATTTTTATAAAACTCGTTGGAACGTTGTTGCATAAATTGTCATGCTATAAAAATCGGTATTCTGAAATAATATACCTTATATCTCCACGAATTTTGATTTGATCGCTAGCATGGACTAAAAAAATATTTTTATGGTTTTAAGGGGGGGGGGGGTTGAGGGCTCGAACCTTTAAAACTGTACTAGAGCTCAACTCTAATCCATAACCACGGTCAGATTTATAATTGAGCTGTTGGGTTTGTGCTGATAGCCTAACTTATATCCCATGTAAACATTAAGTTTAATTTTCTTGGTGAAAGAACTTAATCTAGATCATTAATTTTCAATCACTTTCCATCAACGTCCTTCACAAAAGCAAAGACACTTATGAATCTATTTACACCGGATGCACGACTCCATATTGCCGAACTATATGACAGACACAGTCAGTGTGTCATATGTTAAAACAATCACCGCAGCTGTCGTCTTTAATACGAGAGGAATGTCACGCAGAATTCGCACGAGCGGAAACTCGGCCATGTTCGCAATGTCTGCAAATATCATATTATTTTCCATTTCAACTTGCTCGAAAATATTTATATATTGGTGGAATAAATTAATTTTGAATGGAGTTTAAGAATAATTTATGGATCAGGAAATCGTACGTATGAAACAGAGAAAGTTGTGTTTTATTTTTATTTTTATTGGAAACATAAATCGATTTAAAATACAAAAGCTGAATTCTTTTTTATTTTACTGCCGCTATTACAGATTCTTTTTTAAATTCATTTTTGCCTCACGCAATAAATTAAAATTTTATTTAATAATATAAACAATGACTTTTTTTTGTAATGAAGTTACTTCGGTGCAATTTTTCCTTTTTTTTAAATATACTTTTAAAAAGACGTATTTCTGCCTCTTTAAAAATTTACCAATCTTAGTTTATTTTGTTCTATTTTTAACAGCAATCAAAATATTTTACATTAACCCCTTGGGGACGGGAGATTCAGAAAAGCATTCGTACAAAATCAGAATCAAGTTGTAATTAAATAAAAAATGGTAACTTAAATGTAGTCGTTGCTAATTTGACAGACTTACTTTGCTTTTACTTTAATTATTGTTAGTTTAATCATGTAAATAATCAATGTTAATTCAAAGTATTACTAAATAGTTTTATTTTGAACAAAGTAATGGTGAATTAAATAAATCAAACAATTATAACTCCGCCCACAAATAAACTGCTAGATAAATACTTTGATTACCAGTTTTTTCTTTTTACCCAGATTGATACGGTTTTATGCTGGCACGTATTTGTGGCAGTCGGCTCGAAAGGGTTAAAAAAAGTAACGGTATTAACCACAATATCCTACGTAAACAACAAATATTAATTTAAAAAGAAACTACCAGCTTTCTTTTTTTTTAAAAAAATGCTCGCTAAATTAACACTTAAATCCTTAAATGCTCCAAGCACTTTTATTAAATAATTACAGATGCATGAATCAAATAAAAATCAGATGATTATTTTGAACCAAAGGAATTAATCATCGTTCCTACATTTTATTGTTATATCAATGCTTTTTAATAAAACATACAAAAATTACTTTATACAATTAACAATACAATTGTTAAAAAATTCTTCTAATTGTATGACAATTGTGCAATAGTATAGCAATTGCACGAATGTTTTAAAAGATATAATAGAATATTTTTGTGTAATAACTAACAACTGACGGTCATAAAATAATGTGGTTAGGACTATCAACCTCTAAGCTTCATGCAAAATATTTGGTTGAGCGATAGACAAGTAAAAACTAAAACTTTCAAAATTTTGTACTTACTATCAGATTTACAATAAAATTCTGCTCTCGAAAGAACACTTCCAAGTAAGCAAGGTTGCGAAAGGTGCCTTAATGAAAACAAAAAGTGGTAAGGCAATTACCCTTAAATTCAAATATCAGTTGTACCGCTTGGTTCTGCCGGATGCTTTTATTACAAGCTTAAATATGTATGTACAATGCGATACAAAAAAAAAAAAAAAAAAAAAAAAAAAAAAAAGAAAAAAAAAAANAAAAAAAAAAAAAAAATGAAAAGAAAAAAAATTGAATTACGCTGAATAACTTTTGATCTAGTAATCGGATCTTCACGTTCTAGGTTTGAGGGGATGACCTCAAATATACTAATTAATTATTGCAGATGATAATTTAAATTACGATATAAGACACTTTCTCTGAATAAACATACCTTTTTTTCAACGGATTCGGATTTCTGACTCCCAAAATATTGGGAGTAGCCGCAATCTAGGAAATATGGTCCGCATAATTTGATCTGGAGTGCAATCCAAAGCTTGGACACTTTTATGATAATTTTACTTTTTGCATAGTTCAATTTGCAAAGTTTGGGCCCCTTTGTTTTGCGTATTTCACCATATCTCTCGTAAGTGATAATATTTCATTTTTATATTTAAAGTAAATGAAGACTTTATTTATTTAAAGTAAAATCTTCCACAAGAATTGGAATTGTAAATCTTAAAATTTACTGTCAATTTAAATATTAAAAAATATTTCCCGTGTTAACAGAAAAAATTGGCATACGTGTGATAACGTATTTTCCCTTAAAAATATCAGTTCTCTAATTCTCAACTGCATTTTTTCTTTTCAAAAATTGAACAATAGATTTAAATTTTCTCTCGTTGAAGGAAAATGATTTATGTTTCTCAAACTTGAATATAACAACGATTTTAATGGCATTATTTGACCGTAAAAGAGGATAGAAACACAGGGAAGTAGTTACTTTTAAGTAGAGTATTTAATCAAAACTGCATATTCTTCCAAGTTATCATTATATTCGAAAATGATAGCAAAACATTTGTTTGTTATTAACTTAATTTAGAATGATTTGATATTTTGAAAAATCAAAATGTATGAATGTAGAATAAATGAACTATTTTTGATTGTATTAGAAAGAATATTTTTGATGAATGAAACAAAAATAATATTTAAATGCATTTAATAGCATTCAATACCCACATATCATGAATATATTAGATACCGTTTATTAAAGCTGTTATTTTTGTCCCCGTTTTATCATTAATTTTTAATTTAATTAATTATTTTGTTAAATAAACAAAAGAAGGAAAATAATTTTATTAAAATTGAATTTAAATGTGCCATTTACCATATAGAGCCATTTCAACAAAACGCTAAAGAGTCAATAATTTGGCTAGAATCCCTGTCAAAACTGCAGAAATTGATATTTCAGAAAAAACTTTGACGTAAAAGATATATAAGTATTACATAAATATAGAAAATATTTGCACGTAACATTAGAATCCCTTATTATGACACTAATAAGGAATGAAAAAAGAGAAAAATTCAAAAAATAAAATAAATTAATACAAATTTTGGAAAATGTGCAGTATTGCCTGAGGAGAATATCAAGCCTAAGTTTTTACTTGGGTGTTAATTTTCCCCCATCCTATGAGTCGTTTGAATCCTACTGTTAAAAGAAGTAAACAATGTATTATGCATAGCTGCCAATTACTACTGATTGCTTTTAGTGTCTCCTTTTTATAATTAAATCAGTAATAAAGTAAATTTTTTTTTTAAATTTTTGAATTTATGAAGTTAATTTAAAATTATTTTGAATACCCCTGTATGTAAATAAATAAATCATATATAAATACACATAATTGAAATTTAAATGTGATGAACAACCCTAAAACAAGTAGTATTACCAGGACTTCCTGGGTCATTATTGTAACTGAGTCACAGTTAAGGTAGTTGCCGAATATTCTATCGCTTAACATTTTCCTTCTCGTTGACAGAGTTGTGACAAATAGTTGGCAAATAGTTGCATATATTTTCTCGATTATTTTCTGTTTTATTACACCTGTTTTAAAGTTAATATTATTCTATTCTAATCGAATTTAATCTCAATTATGTTTAATTTCCTATTGATTTCATCGTGTGTTCAACCTAACTGTTTTCCCACCCATGACTTTACTATTTGGTGCTTGGTGCCCCCTCTACTATTTGATGCCCCCTCTTTCCCCAGTTCTACTCCCACTTCACACCTTCCCCCATTGTAAGTCTCAAAAATCCAACGAATCAGTTAATGCCTCTTGAAGATTTGAGATATGTTCTAGTAGATGATTGTCCATTGTAACACTAACAAATATGAAAGTTATTTTTACTAACAATAGTACTATTTTAAGTATCTTTTCACTACCGCTAGAGAAATTCATCCTCAAAAAAAAAATAAAAGTTGACATTTACGACGTTGCAAATTTATATTGGGAGGCTTAAAGAAAAAAAGCTATTAAAAATATCCTTGTAGTGAGGTTTAGTGAGATGAAAAACATCAAAACCATTATGTGGAATCTTTCCACCGCTGCGTATTCGAAAAACTTATCAGAATTTAATGTTTGCACACCTGCCATTCCCCACAATGATTCGTTAGAGTTTCTTAGCATATTTCTTTCCTTTGTAAACATTAAATTGTAATCGATAATGTACTGCCAGACACAAACAATATAAAAAAGAGTAAGAACATTAAGGTAAAAGTAGGTAAATTAGGTAGTAGATAAAGTGGGTATTTTAGGTAATGCAGTAGGTAAATTTTTTGTGAAGTACTTATACAGCAGTAGACTTAATCACAAATGAGAAAATTTTTATTTGATGGCATATAAAAAAATCGAATAGATGGTTTATAACTGCTTTACAAAAAAAAATTCATTTGCAATTTTTTTTAAAAAAAAATCCTCAAGTTCTAGAAATCATATTCTAGAATGGCATTTCAATCTTTTCGAGAGCTTTTTTTTATGTTTACATGGGTGTGAAATTTATATCGTTGTTAATTAAGGCCTTGATTTCTTTTCTTTTGAAAAAAGTAAGTGCACCATGAAATTTCGTTTTTAAATCAACCAATTTACTTTCTTAAAGCAGAACAAAAAATCATTAATTACGTATTTAATATTACTTTTTTAGTTTTTTCTTCACTGTCTCTGGCTTAACAATTTTTCCTTGAAAACTTTTTAATTTTTATACATATATATAAATACAAATTTTTCCTTCAGCCTACTCTTGTAAGGACTCCTTCCTGTTCCGCTTTGCCGAATCGAACACAACCAGAAACTACTGATCGTTCACCACCACCAAAACCTCCTCCTCCTCCGAAATATAAAGTGATGCATCCACCACCACCTCCACCGCCACCTCATCAACTAAGGTGTACTAAACCTCCAACTAATTCTCCAGCAAGGCCACCTCCTCCTAAAGTAAATGTAACTTCATATTTCAGCAAATACTGACCTCAGTATTAGTGGATATATTTATTTGTCATTTAAGAATTAATTAATAAAGTTATTTTATGAAATTAATGTTGATGATTTTTTTTTTTTTTAGATTCTTGAATCAAGACATATGAATCGGAATAGGCCAGACTCCAGAGATCAATCTCACTTCGACAAAGAATATGCTAATTTGGGTAACATCTTATTAGATAACAAAAATTTTAAATTTGGCAGTGTTAACTAAAATAAATTTAAAATTTATTGCACAAAGGAAAATTGAACACGCGTTATAATGCAGAAATACTGTAACAGTGATCCGCTGTGGCGTAGTGGTTAAGACACTAAACTGTCATTGTGAAGGACTGGGGTTTGATCCCTGGCAGCGGCTTGAAGCCTACCGAGCTTCAGATCGACCAGCTTGTATGCGAAGGAAAGGCGGCCTGTGCGCAGTGCTGACCACAGTGCCACAGTCATACCGTGTTCACGAAATTGTGGAACCTTAACATCCATGATCCTCTTGGCCCACAGCAGGCTGTTGCGGGAATACTTTTTTCTTCTTAGTAGCAATACAACAACCACTATTCTGTAATATAATTGTAAGTAAGAGGAGTACATCGCAAACGGCGTGTAACTGATTAACGAGTTAACAAGAGAGCATTTACAGTGAATGCTAAGTCTTGAACAAAACAGTCCTTAACAGAAAAATTGCTTGATAGTACTAGAGCCGTTATAAAATAAGATAGTACGAATTTAGTCGCAGAAAGTCTAAGCATCTAATTAGTATCTATGATATCTTAACTACTATTTGTTTAAGTATAAAAAAAACAATATTAATCACCTTGTGCTGCTAAAAATCGTATTAATTCGCATTGTTATATTCTGGATGCATTAATTTTATCACGATTTTAACTAACTTTAAACTCTGTCATGTGAACTGGTTAATAAGTTACACGCACTCTTTGATGCACCCTTCTCTCTTAGTATTATAACTCTCTAAATGATGGCGTCACAGTCGCTTGACACTATTGNCTCCTCCTAAAGTAAATATAACTTCACATTTCAGCAAATACTGACCTCAGTATTCGTGGATATATTTATTTGTCATTTAAGAATTAATTAATAAAATCATTTTATGAAATTAATGTTTATTTTTTTTAGATTCTTGAATCAAGACATATGAATCGGAATAGGCCAGACTCCAGAGATCAATCTCACTTCGACAAAGAATATGCTAATTTGGGTAACATCTTATTAGATAACAAAAATTTAAAATTTGGCAATGTTAACTAAAATAAATTTAAAATGTATTGCCCAAAGGTATATTGAACACGCGTTATAATGCAGAAATACAGTAACAGTGATCCACGGTGACTCAGTGGGTAAGGCACTAAACTGTCATTGTGAACGACTAGGGTTTGATCCCTGGCGACGGTTTGAAGCCTACCTAGCTTCAGATAAACCAGCTTGTATGAGAAGGAAAGGTAGCCTGTGCTCCGTGCTGACCACATTGCCGCAATCATGCCGTTGGTCACGAAATTGTGGAGCCTTAACGTCCAGGACTCTCTTGGTCCACAGCAGGCTGTTGCAGGAATACTTTTATTTTCTCAGTAACAATAGAACCACCACCTGTAATATAATTGTAAGTAAGAGGAGTAAAATCGCAATCGGTGTGTAACTGATCAACGAGCTTACATGAGAGCATTTATAGTGAATGCTAAGTCTTGAACAAAACAGTCCTTAATAGAAAAATTGCTTGATAGTACGAGAGCCGTTATAAAATAAGATAGTACGAATTTTGTAGCAAAAAGTCTAAGCATCTAATTAGTACCTATGATATCGTAACTACTATTAGTTTGAGTATAAAGAAACAATATTAATCACCTTGCGCTACCAAAAATCGTGCTAATTCGTATTGTGATATTCTGGATGCATTCTTTTTAGCACGATTTTAACTTACTTTCGCTGTCATGTGAACTGGTTAATAAGTTACATGCACTCTTTCATGCACCCTTCTTTCTTACTATTATAACTCTCTAAATGATGGCGTCACAGTCGCTTGACACTATTGCTTTTATCCACTTTTTATTTTGGCAATCCTTATATTGTTTTTAGATACATTACCTAACATATTGAATTTAAACTTTATTTATTACCTAAGTTATTGAATTTAAAATATGAAATTAAAAGAGCTAATCGTGAAAAGAAATTTTTATTATTTCGTTTAGGTTTTTTTTAATTTTTGAACATATAGAGGTGACGTGAAACTTAATCCGACTCCCGTACTACTTTTGATACATGACATATTTTCTAAGCTACTTGAAAGTAATATTATTCCATTTTCTGTTATAAATGATATTGTTGTAGTTACCAAAATAAATACCTTTTATTTGAACTACTAAATAAATAACATAAATGAAGCACAGAAAAAATATTGCGAAACAAAAAGCAAATAAAATTTTATTGCTTAATTTAGCATAAAAATCTCACCTCGTGAGAAAGAACACAAGAAAGACCTTCAACTAAAAGGAAGAAAAAAAGTGTTCTACTAATTCTTTCAAAAAACAAAGAGAAAACGTGAACCACCAATACAATATGTCCTTTTTTAATTTCATACTTTTTGCCAACCTGGTTAAATATGACTCGTCAATCTTCAACAGCAATTTAAAATTTTTTTTTCTAGAATAATCGACTGCTACTATGTCAATCTTCAACAGATATCACAGCCATTTTTTTTTATGATTTTCGTTCTATTTCAGGTGATATTCGTTCTCAGCTGATGCCCAAGAAGCCTGAACGACCCTCCGCTGTCTCTGTTCAAAGAGAAAGTGAGACGGAGAACAAGAAGGACAGTGAAGATCTCTACGAAACTCTGCAGGTCGCTGAAGAGGAAGAGGATCATTACACATACCTGGATGACACCGACGTAATTCATTACTGAATCCATAAATGTTTTGTCTATTTGAACTTTTCATTGTTGACATTATCTGGAATGTTTAAGCTATTTACCGAACCCGGAAAATTAACAAAATTATAATTGATTTCGTAATATTTAATGTACAAAATCTAACTGTTCTGAACATAAATAGGTTAATGTTGGCAAACCATGAAAAATTGTTTGATTTTGCTTTTGAATTTGAACTAACAAGAAAGGTGCCTAAAATGTCACTCGCCGATTGGGCTGATTTTTTTCAGACTGTTTTTTAAGTTTAGAAAGTCAATTCGAAGTAATTCCATCATACAACTTGGAAAAAGTCCTTTAGAATGTATTTCTTGTGTATTTTGTCAAAGAAAAAACGAATGTGTAATTATTCTTCATTAGCCACACACTGATTTCCCAAAAGTCCACATTCTATCTTAGCGTCTTTACGTACTTTAACAGCACAAAATTACATATTACAGACATGTGAAATCTCCTTTTGGCAATGACCCAGTCGCTAACCTAATGACACGTGTTCGTGATCTTCTCGAACATTTTTGGTGACAAAAGCCTTATCTACTTTCACTAAGTTTTGAGACTCAAATACATTAGGAAACGATATATTACAAAATTCATTAGAGGCTTGACGATTTTCTCCTACAAAAACAATAGGTGGTGAACCGTTTTGATTTTCTGTATATGAATTAAGCGCCTTTTGTTTGAACATGTCGCATCATCTAAAGGGCTAATAAATAAATGAATATAATTTGCAAAAAGAACAATTTTTGCGTTGAATCTGGAGCCAAGCTCTTTTCAACTCGCAAACCAAGAACAATGTTGTCTAAAAAAAGTTATTTTATGACTTTTTCTTTATCGGTAATTGTAACATTTGCGTTTTAAAAGGATAAAATTGAAAGATTAAATTTGAAAATTAGAATGAAAATTATATCGTTATCGTTTTGAGCTATAAATTGCAAAGTTCTTGCATTTTTTTGTACTCTCTTTACTAAGAGAGTACAAAAAAACCTAACATACCTGTGTTTATGATAAAAATTTATATTTTAAATTAGAACTCTAGCGAGAATTTGTTATAAATTTATTTTTAATCACTTTTAAATTGTATTTGTTTATTTTTCAAAGAAATTATCTCAAATGTGACTCTTTCGATATCCGTTATGGCACATTTGAGGAAATATCTGCGTTTCTTAAAAAAAAAATCCGAAATTTACATTCTCAATATTTATATCACCGCAACCGAAAAGAAATTGACAAAGATTTTTACATTAATTTTAAAAAAATTTAAAAATATCTGGTAGAATTTTAAAAAAAATGTAAATTGATTTGCGAGGAATACTTGGAATTTGCAATTGTTGTAGACCGTATTTATTTTAATATTTTAGTTCATAATATCTTTGTAATAAATTCAACGCTTTCTCGTTCTTATTAATGTTTGAATTCCCTACGTGTTTTTTAGAAGAAGAATCCCAAGGAAATCAGTGCTTTGAACAAAGAAACAGTTTCGAGATTCAGAACCAGCAAGCAACAGCAACCTACTTGTGGTCGACCGTGGTTAGATCTTCAGACGAGCTATTCAGCAATTGCAGCTACAAATTACGAGTCCCTGGCTGAGATTATTACTTCCGTGAGTGTCACATAATTTTAATATAAACACGTTCATTGTCATACTACTACGAGTCAAACTCTCAAAGCTTATATTCCAAAAAACCAACAAGAATTACGTAGGCTACAAATTACGAGTCACTTGCTGAGATTATTACTTCCGTGAACTTCATATTCTTCTTAAATGCTTCATATACGTTCATTGTCATACTACTACGAGTCAAACTCGCAAAGCTTTTATGCCAAAGCACCAGTAGTATAGCTTCCCAGCTACGATTTAACTCGAAACGAATTTATACTTGTAGCGTCTGCTACACTACGGGTAGAGTAGTAAGGATTTTGCACCTGCAAAATAACAGCCCAACTAAGATTTAACTCGAAACGAATTTATACTTGTATCATCTGCTACACTACGGGTAGAGTAGTAAGGATTTTGCACCTGCAAAATAACAGCCCAACTAAGATTTAACTCGAAACAAATTTATACTTGTAGCATCTGCTACACTACGGGTAGAGTAGTAAGGATTTTGCACCTGCAAAATAACAGCCCAACTAAGATTTAAATCGAAGCAAATTTATACTTGTAGCGTCTGCTACTCTTAAATTTAATAATAACCACTGAAGTTTGGTCAATGTCATTCCTTCGCGTTTTTATTGGGTATATTTCCATATCGTGATCGATCTGCCTCACCAACTGTAATTGTTAAGGCTAAAATTATTTTAAACTGGAAAAATAAAAAATAATAATAATAAACATGTAGATGTTTGCCCGGGGGTGGCTACGAGTTATTCCCTTCAAGTTGATCCTTTTGTGTGAAGTTTTTATTTATTTATTTATTTATTTAAGTTTCTCCTGGGCCGCTGCTCGGAAGTCGCCAAGAATTGGCGATTATTCTGCCACAGATCACGATACGGAAATCTCCCCTTTTTATTTCTGTCTTTGACTAAAAGAAGCGGTTATTATTAATTTTGACCGGTTAGTACTAATAAAAACGGGATTTATCACTTTAACCGTAACACATATACAAAGAGATACACCGATGTACCAATGCTGTATAAGTCGTTTAATCACATTGACAAAACTTCATTGGTTATTATAATTATATTAATAATATATAGTAATAATTATATAATTAATTACATAATATTAAGTGAATAACTTTATATCCGTTGTTGAACAGCCGACCTAATTTTTGGGTTTACGACTACTAATGTTCAACTCCGTAGCCTTGTAATTTTTTTTCGAACCGATACAAAAGACAAGGAAACTCCTGGATCAGTACCCCCAGAGGTATTGATTTGCTATGGGAACATGGGGGACTTTGCGACTCGACAGATTTAACGTGCATCAGTGACCATTTACTACACTTTGACCAAAAGAAGCGGTTACTAATAATATTGACCGGTTAGTATTAATAATAACCGGATTTATTACCTTATCCGTAACATATACATGACGAACTTTTTTTAATGCGTTTGTTTTTATTATTTTAAAATTTATTTTGTTCATTTCATTATTATTATTTATTTATTTATTTCAGTCCATGAACGAAAGTCCGAGTTACTTGAAAAATGATGCTAAATCTCTCAAACTAAAAGATTTCGTCATTGACAATGCGTCAAGTCAAGTTCCTCTCCAAGAAAGGCTAATTTATAACGTTACCTATCGGAACCACGAGCAAGAAAAAGTCATGCTATTGGTGAATAATCTATACTATTTATTCAAACAATGTTCTCAAATGCATTTCTTATGTTTTAAATCCAATTCTCTGCATGTAAAATACTTTTAAAAACTTGTAGCAACTTCTTCATAAAATACAAAAAAAAACTATGCGATTGTACTAATTTTGTCCAAAAAATTGTACAAATGCAAACATAACCTAGCAGTCCTCTCTGCCGCTGCACAAATGCAACTTATTGTTTTGACATTAAAAGTTCTGTTATTAGAAAAATGAAAGTAATTTGCGTTATACGAAGTTGCTAACACTAAAAAAGGATGTTTTTTTTTCTTCTGTTGCATGAGATTTTTGAACGGATCTTGGATATTTTCGCGTCACTGATTTCGAATTTGTAATCGGGGTCTCTCTACAGCCTACAGTTTTTATGCAAGTTAGCAATACGTTCTTAACAGGGATTTTTTAAAATTCACGCAGTTGAATACTAAGTGTCCCCACTTTTCTGCCACTTAGGAAGTGGTAGGAAGAAGGCGATCATACATTTCAGTTTATGGTGTGATACGTTAAGGTCATAAGTTTTGTGTCTTAAGTGCTATTTTCACAGGAGAAGACAAGTGTGTATGCATGTATATAAACCTATGCGTTTTTTTTTTATATAAACTTGTGCATTAAGACAAAAAACTAAACAAAAAACATTATTTTGTGCTCCGACAAAATAATTGCAGATTTGAAATTCCCAAATCTGAATTAGGTAAGCATTTGTATAAGTGCAATAACATTTTTTTACCATTATACCTAAGTGTAAATTTTAGTGTTAGCTATTATTTTAGTTTTTTAAAACCATTGCTGTCATATAATTTGAAATCAAAATATAAAGATTTACGTAATTAAAATGCTTTGGTAAATTTAAATGTATTCTTCCTCAAAGGTCTCGCAGTGGACTGATCATTAAGACACGGTTCCCAGCAGATCACCGAAGTCAAGCATCACTGGCTACGGTCAGTGTGCGGGTGGGTGACCACTTGGATCAGCCAGCGTAGGGACCGAGGGTGTGCGGTATCGGTCCTCGTTAAACTGTTCTACCGTAAAGTGCTCGACTTCGTGTGCAGGTCGTCGGGCTACCGAAGCGGGGGTGCCATCCCCTCTGCATAGGATCAAAATTGTGATGGCATGTCTTCGGATCATCCTCAGGGATGTTTCCCAGACCGTCGCCAATAGCCCATTGTGCAGCTCTAGTGCGACGTAAATAAACAACAACAAAATCTTCCTCCAAGATGAAGCTAAAAAATAAATGAACTGATTTACTACTGTTCACCTTTTTGAAAAAGTACACTTCAGTCATTAACTTTAACTTATTTTTTTTTAATTTTTAAAAAGTTAGAAAAAAATTTTGATCAAGCTCAAATTGATGTTGATAAGAAATTTTTGTTAGTTTCCTAACTAAAGAAACTTCATTGTTCTTTTTTTTTTCGTATTACAAATTGGAAATTAAACATTTTATCTCGGCTGAAGCACTGGATATTTGATTTAAGCATTTTATCTGGATTTTATTTTTATGTTCCAGGGTTTTTAATGTTTTCGCCTATTTTGGAATATCAATTTAAATGCTTTCAAATTTACATTGCCAAGTTTAAATAGATTTCGTTATTAAAAATTAAGTAGCGGGAATTTTTTTAATTTAGGAAGATGATTTAAAGAAGTGACCCTAAATCATTGGGAGCATCATTGGATATATTGTTTTGTTTTCAGTCTAGAAAACCGTAAAGTAATTCACAAATGTTCTAATTAGACGGTTCACCGAAGACATTGATTCATCATTTAAATTCTATCCGATAAAAATGTGGCTAATTGTTTTTTTTTATACTTAATTTTTTATAATTATTTTTCTTTTAACTTGTTTTGCTTTCAACTTGTATCCTGTTTTAAAGTGCTAAATTTTTAGTTCAGCAGTTACAAACTATATTTTGAAAGAAATAATGTACAAGCTCTTTTCTTACCAGCTGCATTACTTTAGTGTTTGATTATCCAATAGGATTGCTCGTTTTAGCCACATTCTTGTGACATAACAAATGAAAAGGCTTATTTCTCTAATATATCATTGACGTCATTTTGTGTTTGCAAACAGAAAAGCCAAATGGTCATTTTCCCATATTTCCCTGCGATTCTTTTCGTTTAAAAAAAAACTAATTTGAAAACTTAAATTCGTGAACTGTAAACGAATTTATGGAATAATAATTATGTTTTAATGTTAATTCCATAAAATTTGCAAGAAAAGTATAAATATAAAAAAGAACCAAAAAATTAAGATCATTTGATTGGATAAGTGTACTGGCAGAAGAATTGTGGGATTGCTTGCCGCTGTGCGTAGAACACTAAAAAATAATGTGTTTTTTTATTATTGTTCTTTAATGTGCAATGTACATGATTAAGAACTTTTGAATTCATTTTGTTTCCACTGAATGTGATTTCATATATTTAGGGCCTTTTATTTATATTTTTATCATTGTACTTTAATGTTCAATATACATGATTAGGAACTCTTGAATTCATATCCACGAGTATGATTATTTTAACAACCTTTAACATTTCTTTCACGTAATTAAAAACTTTCTTTTTATAATGAGTTTAAGCATTCAGCTCACTGCCTAAATCATTTTCGATCTTGTTTTGAATTATCTTAAATCAAAAAGTTTTTTATTCAATTTTATATTAATATTTTTACATTTTTATAATTGTTTTTTATGGCATGAAAATTTCAATATTTCGGAGCATTTTAGGTTAAGTTTTCAGAAAATCAAAAACAGACATCGCCATTATGTTCTATAAATTTAAAATATTTAATTTTTTAAGATTACTTATTTATTTACATTTAAGATATTTCTAAGCATATCTTATATTTCCAGATAATTCCTCGAAAATCAGGAGCACCACCTTCCCGCAACCAAACTCGTTATCCAGTTCTAGCCAGTTTCAACGACTACATTCCAAAACAGACAGGAGTTGCATCCCCAAATTTAGAATCTGCTTCAGTTTACATCTTGCCAAGATCAAACATCTCAACTCTTCTCCAATTCACAGAATTGACGTCTCGGGAAGATAGCAATCAACACATACATTTAAGAAACTATTGTTTTATTCTTTTGCAGCTGATACATACGCTTAAAAGTCTTCAAGCTGAAGGAATTGAGGAAGTAAACTTCGCCCTGGAACATTTGATGTTGATAACCACACACGAAGACAAACCTCCAATATTTGTTCTTTTTCCTGAGGACAAAATCTACCTCACGATTAGTGACTCGGTTCAGTGTAAGAGGACTCTGTGCCAGGCGACGTTGTCAATCATGTTCCATTTCTTAAATATCAAACAAATAGAAGAGCTTAAAACTTGCCTCGTTAATGGTGAACTCTTGGCAGAGCCTGTGGCTGATACTTTTAACGCCATTGCAAAGATATTGCTTGAGGAAAAGGCTTCTTCATTAACGCAGGCAAAAGGTTTTCTTGAGTACATGCTGTGGGGACCAGTGGATGTTAAAATAACGGACTGTCCAACTGAAGATGATATTGAAGTTATTTTGCAAAGGTGGTTGGACTTACAGCGAGCTCAAATGGTCAAATCAACTATAGCTCAACTTCAACTAAAAGTGCACTCACCCACAAATCTTCACGTATTTGAGGAGTATCAACTAATATATTTACTGCAAGCTTCTGTAAAGAGTTTAAAAAGTGTAATATCTAAACTGTAATCCGATGTTTATAAAGTTAATAAAATTTTATTATGTTGTTGATTTTATTTTTGGATTACAAAGTTCTTTATTTACATGTAATGTACATTTCTGAAAAAGTTATCAACTTTTAAGATAAACTTAGCACTTTATTTGGACTACATTTAATGCACATTTCTGAAAAAGTTATCAACTTTTTTTGAAACAAACTTAATACTTCCTTTACCAGGTGTAATAAGAACTGCCCCATTTAATTTTTACAGCAATATAAGACATAAAATTCCCCGTGTTTTAATCAACCACTTAAAACTTTGAAAATTTTAAACACGAAGTAGATCAATATATTTACAAAATATATTTGCAAAAATAGGAATTGCTAACTTTCCTTTCATGGCAACAGAAAAATTTTAAATAGTGGTAGAGAAAGATTGCTAAAACAAATTGTTTTTATCAATTATGCATTACCAAATATATATTATATAATTTACCAAAATGCATCTACAAGACATGTATCTAGCTGTAAGAAATGACAATCATAATTCATGAAATTAACTCTTTGACTTGTGGCGTAACTACCACTACAAATATTAAATACCAAATAACTAGTATATAAGACATGTTAACTCGATTATCTCCTGAGGTACTTTTCAATAGATGAAGGTATAGACACAGAGACACAGACGATAATTGAATCCCCCACATACTCAAATGAAAACAGGTATCCCTTCAATAGAAACTTTTTCTGACTCTCTAATTACAAGCAAAAATATATTTCGTTATTTTTTTTAATTATAAAGAGAAGTCTATACGAAATGGTTTGTTTACCTTAGTAAAATAAACATTAAAAATACGTAATGTTCATAGTAATTCAATGGAAACCGAAATTGTGAAATCTTGGACAAATTTACGCCAAAAATTAGTTACGAAATTCGCTATGGCGAATTTCTATATATTTTTATATTTCTTTTTTTTATATATTCTTTTTTCTTATTTTTATATTTATATATATTTCTATATAATAACGAACTATATATAGTCAAAATATATTCGATTTACTATATATATTCGATATTTTGACTATGTATATTCGAACTATATGTAGTCAAAATAAGAGCAAAAAATGATTATCTTTACGTGAAAAATGACCCAAATTTTGAAACTTACTGGTTAAGAAACATAACGTTTATAATACGAAAGCATTAAAATACAAAATAGTTTCTCAAATTCTTAAAAAAAGGCAATAAAAATACGTTAATGCTCGTAGCAATACAATGGAAAGCGCAACACGAAAAAACAGTTAACAACTTGGTTAAAATAATGTAAAAGTTATGCTAAATAGAAAAATCTCGGTTTTTGTTTAACGTAATTAATTTTTACGTAAAAAAGTGGCTAAGAAATTCACCAAACATATATAAACGTTTAAAAAAAACGTTGATATTGATGGCAATACAACGTAATTTATAAAATGGAAAAAAGTACGATCTTGGTAAAAATAACATTAAAAAAAAGAAACCAACTTGGTGAAATTTGCGTTGAAAATTGGTTACGTAATTCCCTACAGTGAAAATAAGGGTATAAAATCGTCATCTTTAAGTTAAAAATAATCCATATTTTAACGATTATTAAATGGATTTGAGACGACCATGATCATCTTCAGGTCAAAAGTAACCCAAATTTTAACGTTTATTTAACGGATTTGTAACTACTATTTTAAACCAGAATTAAACGTTTAGTCCTAACGTTTAAATACTCTTAAACTTTTGGCATTTTAACGTAATTAATACTTATCTCTGCATGGGTGCGTAGCGTGAATATAATATTCGGAATGGTTTTTAACCATTTCAGTAAATTATGCGTTAAAAATACATTAATGTTCATAGTACCCAATGAAAATCACAAACGAAGAGAAAAAAAAAACGTCAACAACTTGGCTAAAATAACGTTATAGCTATGTTATATAGAAATTAACTTGGTCAAATTTACTTTTAAGAAATGGTTATCAAAATAGGCGTTAAAAAAATTCAATATTCATAGTAATAAAACGCAAATCATAAAATGGAAAAATACTTTTTAAAAAATTTGTTAAGAAATTAGTTCAACTCCGTTAAAAGAAATTTTAACCTTCATGGTAATAAAATGTTAATTGTGCAATAGAAAAAATAATGTAGAAATTAAATTGAAAAAAAAAATCAACATGGTCAAATCTATATAGAAAAAATTGTTACGAAATTCACTATATTTAAATACGGGACAAAAATTTTTCACCTGTAGGGTAAAAAAAAAAACTTTTAACCGTTATTTAACGGATTTAAGACTACCATTTAAAAGCAAAATAAACGTTTAGTCCAGACATTAAAACTTTACTAGCCTAGGGGCACTTCAACGTTATTTTAACGCATTTAATTCTTACGTCTGCTGCATGAGTTGTGTAATTTGAACATAAAAATTCGGATGGGTTTTTAATCTTCTTAAAAAATAAGCGTTAATTAAAAAAAAGCTAAAAATAATCGAAAAATTGTTAAAGAAATTCACTAAGCTCAAAATAAACGTTAAAAAATCGTTAATACTCATAGTAATAAAATGCAATAAAATCCGCATTAAAAATACTATAATGTTACTAAGACAATGGAAATTTCAAAACGAACAACGTTAATTACTTGGTTAAAATAACGTTAGAATTACGTTAAATAGACACTAACTCGGCTAAATTTACGTGAAACATTGGTTAAGAAATTCATTACACTCAAAATAAGCATTTAAAAAAAATTAATACTCATGGTAATAAAATGACGTAAAATAGGCGTTAAAAGTACGTTAGTGTTCATAGTAACACAATGTAAACTGCACAACGTAAAAAAAAAAAATGTAACAACTTGGCTAAAATAACGTAAAAATTACGTTGAATAATACCTACTTAACTTGGTTAAATTTACGTGAAAAATTGGTTAATCAAATTACTAAACTCAAAAAAGAATTAAAATTGCAAAATGGAAAGAAAAAAAAGACGTTAACGACTTGGTTAAAATTACGTAAAAATTTACATTAATAGAAACTAACTTCGTTACATTTACGTAAAAAATTGGTTAAGAAATTCACTAAACTCGAAATAAGCATTAAAATTTTTTTAATATGCATGGTAATAAAACGTAGGAAAATAAGCGTTAAAAATACGTTAGTGTTGATAATAATACACTGGAAATTGCAAAACAAAAAAAATAAAAAATGAAAAACGTCAAAAACTTTATTAAAATAACGTAAAAATCACGTCAAATATAAACTGATTTGGTTAAATTTACGTGAAAAATTGGTTAAAAAAATCTTTAAATTCAAAGTAACCGTTAAAAAAAATGTTTAATACTAATAGTAATAAAGCGTAAATCATGTAGGGGAAAAACTACGTTAGTATCTTGCTTAAAATAACGTAAAAATTAAATTGAAGAAGAAACCAACTTGGTGAAACTTACATTAAAAATAGGTTACGAAATTTACTATAGTCAAAATAAATGTGAAAAATGGTTATCTTTAGGTTAAAAATAACCCTAATTTTAACGTTTATTTAAAGGATTTGATACTACCGTTTAAAACTAAAATATAACGCTCAGTTCAGACGTTAAAATTCTCTTATCTTTTGTCATTTTAACGTAATTTTCACGTATTTAATACTTTTGTGTGCTGCATGGATTGTGTAGATTGAACATAAAACTTGCAGTGCGAACATAAAAATATGGAATGGTTTCTTATCTTCTAAGTAAAATAAGCGTTAAAAATGGATTTAATATTCATAGAAACACCATGGAAATTGCACAACGAGAGAAAAAAGAAACGCTGAAAGCTTAGATAAATAACATAAAAATTAGATTAAATAGAAACTAACTTGCTGAAAAATTTGTTAATAAATTCACTAATATCCGATAAAAAATAATAAAAAACTCTTAACATTCATAGTATTAAAACGCAAATCGTGTAATGGAAAAAATACGTTAGATTCTTTTGGGCCTTGTCTAAAACAGGTACATTTTTAAGTAACAGTATCACAAATCAGTATGGAAATAAAATAAATTTATTTGGTGAAAGCAGAGCTAGATTTAACATTTTCAGCCAAAAAATTTTTTGGCACTTTTCAGGAGCTGGGCGGGGTAAAAGAGCCCCGGATGGCATAGGTGGTTGAGCAAACAGAAATGCAGGTAATGTTTTAGCGCAACTACCAATTTTCAAGTCCGTAGCCCTGTAGTTTTGAACCCAACCCAGAAGACAAGAAAACTCCTGCATCAAGTATTGGGGCAAGCTAGCTTTCGAAGAGGACTTTTTGATGGAACTAATTTGCATTTTTGTTACATGGAGAGGAAAACTTCCCACAGTTAGCACGACTACAAAAGGATTCTAACCCATTGTCCTTCTACCACTGAGGATATTTTACTTCTGCACTGTGGTCGGTGCGAACAGAGTTCGTTTTCACCAGTCACGGTTGGGATTCGAACCTGGGGACCTCATTGGGAAATTTAAAAATGAAAAATATAATTTTGTAGATGCACATTAAATAATTATAATATATATTATATAATTATATAATTATTAATTATATGACCTNTATATTATATTATTAATAATTATTAATAATAATTATATAATTACATAATTATAATTATATAATATATTATATAATTATATTAAGTATTATCTTGTTCTATAAATAATAAAATAGTTTATGTAGATAAGGAGAGAAAATAATCTGCATTATTTAAATATGAAGGGAAAAAATGATTTTTGCAATTTTTCTTATCTATACTACAAAAATATTAGTGATAATTATATGAAATTTAAAAATATATACTATGTTAACAACATGTATCAAATTATTCAGATATAAATATACCAGAAATAATTTGAATAAGTATATATAAAATACTGCGCAATTAATTTACGAGCAAATCTGAAAATATGCAGTTATAAATATTTGGAAACATAGTAGTTATTGAAATATGTTTAGTAGAACATTTAACTTTTCTCAAAATTGCTGTTATCTTTGATGCATAGTGCAATATATAACTTAGAGGTGCTTTAATTGCAAATTTAATAAACGTGATCTTTACTCTTAATACAGAAATAAAAGAAATTGAAATATTAATAAAAAATATTCAATTTAAAAGTTTAAAGCTACAAATCCTAACCGTTGAATTAACTTTGATTTTTTTAAATATCATTTTATTAAATTTGCAAACAATAACCAATTTATAAAAAATTTATTTTATTCATAAATCATTCATTTGTCAGAAATTTGTATTGTTAAAAATAAAATGTAATATCTTTTTTCTCACTCAACACAGCATTAATCAAAATTTAAAGAAGGATGGTGAAAGCTTACTAATCAGGGCAGGATTAAGCGTAAGCGGGCCCGAGGCCATTCAAACTTTTGGGGCCCTTAGATTAGATTTTTTTCGCGTATATTTTTTACTTATTAAAATATAAAAGTATTTATCTATCTTTTCATTTAAGAAAGCATATTTAAAATATAAAATAAATAATAATAAATTAAATTTTACTTTATTTTGTTAAATTGGAAGAAAAATAATCGTAACATTTTGAAAAATCATTGTTTTTCTTAATTTTTTAAAATTTATTTTCAAAAAATCCAATTTAAGGGGGCCCCTAATCATTGGGGGACCCGCCAGGCCATGGCCTAGTCTAGCCTAATGGGTAATCCACCCCTGTTATTAATTGTTTTTAAAGTTTCTGTTACTTTTATATAACTAATATGTTTTCCTTTGTAACAACTTAATTAAATTTTATTATGCATTTATTATTTTTTTTTGGATTTTTTTTTTAAACGTTCGAACATTTTGTTTCGATTATCCCTACTGCTTTTGAAAAAGAAAAATGTATCATATAAGTAAATTGCAAATCATTGACATTAAAGATCATTACACTAAATAAATGCTAAACTAATTTAAATTACATCTTAAAAAATTAATTAATTGAGGTATCATATACGAGAAAAAAAGGGAAAAAAGAAAAAAATTGTTTGAAAACTATGTTATGGAAGAAAATTATTTCGAGTTTCGAATTCTATAATTAGTGTATGATTATTACTGTTTTTTGCTCAAAAATGGCAACAGAAAAAAAATATGAATCACTCATCAATTAATTAACGGATTACAAAGACAATTCATTTGCATCATTAAGTTAATTGTGGAATGAGGAAACGATAATTAACTAACTTTAGCAAAAATCCTTATCTATCCTGTAATGTCGTTTTTCTTATAATGTAATCACGGTATTACGTGACCGTGACTGTGACGTCACGCGGCAACTCGTAAATGTAAACAATATCCTGAAAAGCAAAAGCCCAGGTATGAAGTTTCTTGTAACTAATTTAGAATAAAATTCGATTTAGATTGGCTTGACTTATTTTTTTAATTGTTTTTCCCTCTTTTTTATTTAACAAAATTGTGTTAGTATCAAGATCGAGTGTTAAATTAATTATTCAGATCTACTACAGCAAATTTGATTTGTGTTGAAATGTAAACATACTTGTTGTGAATCATAACAAATCCCTATTCGACTTATTAGTGTGTTCTTACTCTTAATTCCCTTGTGAAATTATAATAATAATTGTAAAATTCTTACTTCTTTTAATTATTCTTCGAGCTAAGTTAGTAAAGCCAACTAATGAACTTTTTAGTCATCATTAAAATAAATAATATCATTATACTTCGTCAAAATATAAGCAGATTTTGTAATTTCGGTGTGTCATTCCTATTGAAATAGAGTCTCCTAGCCTTACTTCTTGTTTGAAGTTTTGATTGATTATGAAAAAAATAAAATTATGGGAGAATTTTAGTCATTATCTTATATTTTAGAGATAATGGTAATAAGTAAGAATGTTTTAGAAATTTAACGTTCCAGAAAAAAAAGTTAAGATTCTAGGTTGTCCCAATATTTCTGATTCAGTCCCAATATTTCTGAATTATTAATATTCAATAATCTCAATTTTTAAAAAATAAATAAATTTCTTATTGACATATAGTTTAAATGTATGGAAACATGTTTTAACTCTGTAACTATACACTATGGAACCTTTTTATTTTCATTTACATTTTAAAATATTTATTCAGTGGTGTCTTTCCCAAACCTTGCAAAATTTTCTATATTGATTTTATTTGTACTACCTAATATAAGAAGCCAAAGATAAATGACATTAAAAAAAAAGCTCTGAACTAACCATGAAAGAAAATTTTTTTTTGTTTACAAAGAGTTATAAGCTTGCAAAAGTCACTAATAATGATATGTTTCAAATTATTAAAAAAGATAAGAATCAGTGTAAATTGTTGCAATCTATAATTCTAATCCTAAGGAAAACTGTTTCTTATACTATAGTTTTTAAACTTATGATCGGAGAGAGTTTGAAAGTTATTGCACTCGCCTTGTTGTTGAACTGGTACCACAAAATTGATGTAAATCAGTTGAGAATGAGTCTAAAAAGCATACCAGCATTATATTATATAGAGCTGAGCCCCCTGTACGCTCCCGCTCCTCAACCCAGATGATTGGTTTGCAATAATTGTTGTTTCTAGGCATGAAATAGTTCTTTCTATGAAAGTTGACATTATTCACTTTCAATATATGTACTAAAAAGAATTCTGTTTGCTTACGCTTGTGCTCCCATTTCCATTTAATAGATACATATTTCCCTTATGAATCTATTATAATCAGTAATTTTTTAAGTTATTGCTTTTTAAAATAACATTTGAAATTAAAAGTATATTGTTGTTATAAATTTGGAGAGTTCGCAACTATTAATTTATGCCAAACGGTTGGATATATTAAATACAATTTTTGCATGCATCACATTGTGCATGAAGCTGATTGATAAATTTTTAATCATCTAACAAACCTCTTTAACTGTAATTTATAATCTTATATTTATGTAATTTGTACAAAGAATAATAATTGTGAGACGGTTAGTGAGATCAGATATCAATTTAAATAACTTTAAAATGTAGTGTTGTTGTTGGTGTATGCCTGTTTTTAGGCAGAGGGGGTGCGATTGTTCTTGTTTTCCAGTGGCGTCATCTACAGCCAAGAATTCGACTTCTGCCACACCATACCCCACACCCCTTTATAGGGCGGACCCATTCATTCATCCACAGATCGTAATTTTGACCTGCATCAGAGAACGATCGATCTCCAATCCAGTACTCCCAGAGGTGTTGATTTGTTAAAAATGTAGTGTAAAATTAAGTTATAATAATAATAATAAAAAAAAACACAATTCTCTTGGTTTCAGGATCAAAATCAAAAATGTAATATTAGTGTTACAGGGATAAATTAGGGATGCAAAAATCATAAAAGTTTCAATGTTATATTTTTAGAGTTTCTTTTGATAATTTCTGCTGATAGTAGGCACTCATAAATCTGCAAAATCAGTAATTTTTCACAGTTCAAGATAACTGAAAAATATAGGATCATTCTAAATAATCACAAAATACTCTAAAAATAAGTGTTTAAACAAAACACACAAAAAATCTATATTTCACTTATCTAAACTATAAACTCTATGTCCTCATGTTTCTACGTGTTCAAATTTTTTTTTCCTTCCAGATATTTTTGATTTTCACCATGGCTAAAATTATAAATAACAAAAGAACGGCCATGTTTGATAACGATGAGTTTGAAGTTGACGAACTCGGTGCTGAAACTGAGGCTGAAAAACAAATGAAAGTTATTTTGCAAAAGCAACTAAATACAAATTTATCTTTAAATGAGTAAGTATATTTGTCTTTGTTTCAAAATAAATAAAAAAATTTAAAACCATATGAAAAATGTTACAAATCTCAATGGACTGTTCAAACCACTATTTTAATACAAAAAGGCTTTTTGTAAAGTGATATCTCAATTCATTCAGTGGATAAAGATTGATCTATTTTTAGGGAGTGGGTAAAAAAGGATTCTGTTATTATTTCTGTTTTATGCACTGATTTCATGTTTGAAAATTCAAGAGCTTCAAAATAAATTAAATACAATTTATGCACAAAATATACTGTACAATTAAGCAGTTCATAACTAAATATCATAATCAATTAGATTATATGTTAAATATTTATGTTTTACAAATGTTTTACCAAATGTTACAATAGTGATATCTCAATGTATAAATATATAATTCAAGGTATTGTATAGTGATATCTCAATTCATTCAGTGGATAAAGATTGATCTATTTTTAGAGAGTGGGAAAAAAAGGATTCTGTTATTATTTCTGTTTTCTGCACTGATTTCATGTGTGAAAATTCAAACTAGTTAAGCTTCAAAATAAATTAAATACAATTTATATACAAAATATTATACTGTACAATTAAGTAGTTCATAACTAAATATCATAATTAATTAGATTATATGTTAGATATTTATGTTTTACCAAATGTTTTCATTATGTAAGGCCAATAGTGATATCTCAATGTATTAATATATAATTCAAGTTATTGTATAGTGACATCTCACTTCATTCAGTGGATAAAGATTGATCTATTTTTAGGGAGTGGGAAAAAAAGGATTCTGTTATTATTTCTGTTTTATGCACTGATTTCATGTTTGAAAATTCAAACTTGTTAAGCTTCAAAATAAATTAAATACAATTTATTTACAAAATATTATACTGTATCATTAAGCAGTTCATAACTAAATATCATAATTAATTGGATCATTAATTAGTAATAATTAATTAGTTTTCATTATGTAAGGCCAAAATTCTCATTGTTTTTTTATAAATGTATTTAATGAAAAAAATGCTGTGCATAAAAAAAACATTCAAAATTACTGTTCATTAAAAAAAATTGGATTGCAAAATGAAAGAAAACAATAGAAACAAGGCATATCAGGATCACCTCTCTTGGAAAAATAATAAATATAATAATAATAAATGTAATTTTAAAAAAAATCAGAAGTATTAAATTTCTGGTTCAGTATAGAGTAATCTAGCTTGAATTCTTTAAATTTCTCTTTTCTATTTGTCTTCCAGAACAGATATTTGCCAGTCAGGTACAAGTTTTAGAACTTAACAAGTATGTGTAAAAATTATTTCTAATAATGCATAGTAAAAAATAAGATTTTAAATTATTGTTTATTAAATCTATTCGTATTACAAAAAAAAAAAGTTTTGTTGAAAAATAATTTTTCATAAAACAATACTTTGACGAATATTTGACCTAAGTTTCGGCCGACCGAATATTCAGCAAAAGGGCAGAGTAGGCCGAATACCAAATAGTCACCGAATATTCGTTACATCCCTAGTTTTCTTCTCAGTACAAAACATAAATTGTTAACATTTGTAATTAAATTGCTGTTCATTTTGTATAAGTTCAGGAATTAATTATTTATTTTCTCTTCAAAACAAAATAACTCCTCAGTGTCAATAACTTCTCAGTGTCAGTATTATTTCTGAATGATAGGCGTGGAAATTTCTTATTTCAAAAATCACCCAAACAGGTATTTGTTAACAATATTATAATAGCATTTGTGACAACACTATTAAAACAAGAGAAAATGAAAGAGGGGAAATGTTGGACCGAGATTCGATTGAATTAAAGATTTAGCTACTGTTTATTTATTTTTTAAATAAAAACAAAACTCAAAACAATGGCATTAAGTCATCTGAAAATAAAGCTACTTTCTTATTGTGCTTAACCCATCTATTGTTTTGTTAATGAATATTTTGTTAATACCTTTTATTTCATTTTTTATTCACAACAAAATAAAAAGCTACCATGTTTGTAGAAGTTGTTTAAGTCCAGGGTATCTGCTCACCTGAAAAGTCATGAAAAATCAGGGAAAGTTATGAATTTCGGTATTGAACAAAATTTGTCATGATTTTAACTATTTTCTTAAGCAAATCATGAAAAATCATGGATTTAGATCACAGAAAAATCTAAGTTTTAAAATGGAATTTAAAAATACCTCTGGCCATTTCAAAACAGTCATATTTTATTAAAATACAAAATGTTTTCATCATGTTCTTTAAAAGTTATGGTGTTCTTTCAAAAAATGAAAGAAAAAACATCATTTCTAATGCGAATTATCTTTTAAACTTCTGTGATTTCATAATTTTTTTTATTATTTATTTTTATTTTATCAATTTAAAATTCTAGCTGAAGCAAGCCAGTCATTGGCGAATTTTTCTTGTTCCGAAATGAGAAAAGAAAAGTTGAAAATGAGTATTTCTTTCCTTTCGGATGAATAAGAAAAGTATCTTAAGAATATAATTCTGCAGAAAAAAATTATTTGTTTTTGTATTTTTGTTCAGCTATTTTATTGCTTCAACTCTTTCTTTACTCTGTTTTTTTAAAAATTTAAAATCATTAAATATGAAGATGCAGAGTATAACAGTTTTGGTTATACCTATCATTTCAATTTATGTTATTATAATGCTTTTTTAAATTTCTTGTGTTTTTGTCGTAGAAAATAGTGACTTCGTTAAGTCATGAAAAATTCTAGGAATTAGTCATGAATTTGAAAATCTGAAATGTAGCAGATGCCCTGTAAGTAATTGTATTTTTAGTAATAAGTTTATGAATACTGATTATTTAACATAGTTGCTCGATAATTACTTTCAATGCAATGAATTTTCTTTAATGATAATAGTTACATTTTATTTCAGGCAATTTTCCCAGCATCGCACTTTTGTCAGTCCAAGTACCTTGAATTCTTTAACTGAACTTGTGCATGGGACATGTAATTTAGAAAAGTTCAAACAGATTGAACAAGATGAAGAAGTGAGACAGGAACTTCAACGATGTGGACTCACTGATGAGGAAATAGTTACTTACCTTGATTTAAAGACAGAAAAGGTATATTCACAGGCTGATTCTTTTTTTCTTTTTTTTTTGCATTAATAGTGCTCAACTTGTTTGAGCTAAAATGTTCATTTTTAATTATTAAAAATAAAGTAAATATCTTATAGTATCCCCTGTGGCAGAATTGCGGCGACAATGTTGCAGAAGGTTACAGAGTTCTCGCAGAAAGAATTTTTCTTTAGGAAGTAAAAAATTTTGGTCTTCTTTCTGCATAAATTTTCGAAATTTTTTTTTCTTTAAAATAATATTTAAAAGATGACTTTTTTGAGCATCAGAAGGGAAAGAAATGTTCGTAATTTTTCAATTCTTATTTGTGAAAAATGAAGCAAAAACTTTCTTTTCTGCAAAAATTATTTTTCCCTTACAGAGGAGAAGAAATGATTAATTTTTGCGTGAATGATTAATTTTGACGTGATTTTTTTTTTTCGGTTTTCTTTTCTTTCCCGGATTTTACGATTTTTAATTATTTGTTCATGTGATGATTTACGAAATGCAAAAAACAAAAAAATTAGTGTGTTTTCCTCTTACAAAATGTGACAATATCGCTTGAGATGATTCGAATGAAAAGAAATATTACATATTCATTTAAAAAAAAATACATACAATTTTATTATATCCAAATAGGCTTTTCTTTGTGAATACAATGTTTCTGTTACTTTAAATTTAATTAATAACATATATATTAGTTATTATTAAAATTATCTTGCTAAAAGATATTAGTACTAGAGAGGTTTGTCGCAGAAAGCCCAAACAAATTCTGCCACAGGGATAGTATCATATTTTTAGGCATCTTCTTCATTATAAATTAGAGCACTTTTAGTTGAGGTACCGCAGACATGACATTCTGCATTTGTGTACAATGCATGTACTGCAAATATTACAGAAATTGGTTGTAGTGGTATATTACAATTATTTGACAGTACCCTAGCATCCCTCTGAAATTATGTACTAAAATTTATGATGATTAATAAGTAAAACATTTGGTTTGATATTTTTTTCAAAACCTTGTATTATTTAAAGAGAATTGAATAACAAATTAAAAGCCATTTATGCAGTGCTAATCAGTGAACTAGAATGCAAAAGCAATCTTGGGCTGAATTCATTGAGATTCTTTTTATAAATGCTTTTGATAAAAGTACTTCACTATAGGATTTTAAGTAGGATTCCATGAAACAAGTGTAGAATTCAGTTTTAAATCTTTTAAGCTTTAATTTTCCTTCAAAAGATAAAAAATATGATGCAATGCTACCATTTAGTATGACATACAAGACATAACTAATGACTTAAAAAATTACAAAATTTATCAAATTAAAATCTTTAGTACTTTAAAAAAAACTATGAAAAGCTAATGTTAATTAAAGAATTCAAATATAAAACCATAAATGAAATAATAATAACGAATTAATTTAAATGAAAAGCATATAAAAAAAACTGTCATCCAAACCTGTATCAGCTAGAATTTCTGGCTAAACTACATCACTAAAATTTGAATATCTTAATTAATGAAATGTCTTAATTTTTTTCTCTAGAAAGATAATCATCGAATATTTAATCCAGAAGTAAGAAAAGAATTTCTTCAAAAAGTGGAACAAAAAATAAAACTACACAATGAAAGTCTTCTCAAACCTCAAGAGTTCAAAAATGTGAAGAAGCTAACACGTCATGAAATCGAAATTGAACGCTCACTTTATTCTGGTTGTTCAGATAAAAGCAAGTTGTCTTCATTAGTGTCAGCACAGACTTCATTTGAGCCAGATGGACCTTACAGTTACATTAAAAAACTTTCAGATAAATTGACAGATAAAACTAGAAGGAAGAAGAAAAAGAAATTGGTAGAAGCCAGTCAATCTTTGCCGTCTGATTCACTATCAGTGGAAAATGAAAGCATCCAATATGATCCCAATGTACATCATGTTAATATACCCTTAGAAGAGAATGAAGTAAATGAAAATCGCTTGTCAGCTGATGAAATTAAGAAGTTACCAAGGTTTGAAAACCATACCATTGGGCAACCAAATAAAGTAACTATTCATTATTTCTACTTCTCCAATGAACCATATTTATTTAAACTGCTAGAAATATAGAATTTTTTTTCTTAATTTAGTTGGATGTAAAATATTTATTTTGTATATTTGTACCTACAACTGATTTTAAGATTTATTTTATTTGAGTACATATTTTAGGTATCTTTATATTTATGCCATTTGATTTGTTGTATAATTTTAGAATATCACAGATTTTACTGAGCGTTAGATTTTTTTTTTCAATATATATCATAAGCATTTCTTTTTTTACTGTATACATAATACTTGTTGAAATTGAAATATATAAGCAACCAAAAAAAAAGAGAAAAAATCACTACTGAATAAGATGAGACTGCAAACAACAAAACCTGTTTGATTGCCAGAGGAAACTAAAAATAGTGGAAAGATGGTTATTAAAATAGACCTTCAAGTTTCATCAGGCAATGATATTGGTTTTGATGTTTGCTTGAATATTAATTATTGATCTTTTTACATAGAGAACAACATAGACTTATAAATAGTATCCAAACTTGCCTGATTTACCCTATTTTTAAAAATAAAAAAAACTAGTTCTTGAGCACTGTGCCCCATTTGATTTATCATTTACTGCCATTTCTAACTTGATTTTCCTATCCAGAAATGAACTGTTAAACTTTGTATTTGCTAATTTCTTGTTTTGCTAAAGCTTTGTTTAAGTAATTATATGAAAATGATAATTTTTTACTCTTGCAAATTGATGGTATTTTATCTTCATCTCATTTTTTTTTTTCATGCTGATTATTTTTTAAGTGTAGATTTTACTGGCGTTACTTTTTAAGAATTTTTTTTTTAATTGCATTTTTTTTTAATCATTCTGTTTACCCTAACTACCAGAAATAGATTAAAAAATGATTTATTTGTTAATTTTTTGTATAAATTTTCCATTATAATAACAAACTATCTATATTTGTGACAGCCTGTCTCATCGTGAATAAAATTAGGATAGGTCATCTTAGCTCCAAAAATGATCTGTTTGTTGATTTTATACATTTTTATATTAAATTTTTATTAAGTCTCGCTTATACATATATGAAATTCAGAATCTGTTTCAAAGAGAGTTCCTGTTTTAAAACTAAAAGCTTTTTCAAAATAAATTAAATAAAAATTGCATTATGTTTTATATGCATGTATGATACAATATTTGTTTTATTGTTTAGATGCTGAACTAGTATCATTAAACTTTTACAAATTGTAATCTGCTTTTGCACTATAAAAGTAATTAAAAATAAATGCAAAAGTCCAATAGGAAAATATTTTTAGAATTTTTTTTTTTTAAAGTTTTAAGAAATTTTACTTCTCTTATTAAAAAGTACAATCTATTGCATCACATGTCATATGCTACAGAAAATATTCTGGATCTATTATTATGTAAAGCTGTAATATTATTTATTTTATACATATTTTATTTAATTGTGATTCAACAATTTGTGTTATCCTTTTTTTAAAAAAAAATAATTTTTCTAAATATTTAAAAATTAAACAAGTTTTTATAGATGTTTTTGTTGATTACTAAGCATTTTTAAAAATATTTTTTTTTAGACTCTCTATCTTAAAAATTTGCACAGTAAAACTACAGCAAATGAACTTCGCTCCCTATTTGGCCAGTTTGAAGCAGAAAATGGTGTTCCTATTTATTATAAAGTATGTACAGGGAAAATGAAAGGTCAAGCATTTATTACTTTTTCAAGTAAGTGTTCTAGTTTTTTTATTCATTGAATGTTACATTGTTCTTAGTGTTGTTTATTTTTATGTATTAGTATTAAATTTAATTATAGCTGTTGTAAATTTCAACCTTTGATGTAAAACTGCCTTTTTTCCAAAATTTTTTCTAATACTTCAAAATGATCCCCTCCCTTTTTAAAATTCTTACAAAGAAATTTTTGTACAAATTTATTTATTTATTTTTTTAAATTCATTTATTTATTTTTTGTCATTTTAATAAAGTTTTGTCTTAGTGAAGTAAGGACAAAAATACACCAAAATTTCTCTGATAAGGAGTCACAATTGTTGTAAATGTATTACTAATTTTTAGTTATAAGAAATTACTATTTTTTCCCTAACAAAGTTCTGTCTTGCTGACAGAACTTTACTTTTGAGTAACACATGCAAACTCTATAGAATGGCTTTTATTTAAATTGAAATTTAGTATGTAAAGAACATTTATAATTCAAAGTGTAATAAGTTTTTAAATTTAACTTCTTTCAAAACTTTTTTGTGAATTTTTTACTTTATGTTTTTAAATAAAGACATTTCTTTCCTTATTTTAAATTTTTTTTCCTTCTTAACGATAACTTGGAAATTTTTACAATTTAGTTGTATCTAAGCTTGTTTGTAAAATATAAATGAAATTTTTTGCAATGTAAATCACAAAAAATATTTAATTCTTGTATTTTGTAGTAACAATTTTAAGGATTATTTTGTAAGAATCAAAACTACCATGTCAATTTCATTTTACTAAGTTAGACAGTAATACTGGAAACTTAAAATTTTATCCTCTAATTGAAGTAATTGATATCATAATTGCAAGCCAATTGTAAATTATATGATTGATTACTTGCAATTACACTTTATTTCTTTATTTATTTAGTTTCAACTTGTTTAAAAATATCACTTTTAATATCTATAAATGAGGGTATAGTATACCAATACTATTCTTAAAATATAGAAATGTGAGATGGCGAATTTAAAATTTGTTGATTCAATTTTAATCACCATTATTCTGAACAAAATGAAAAAATAATAATTATAATGTTGCATCCATTAGTAAACCAACTTTACACAAATTTCAAAGAGAATAATGTGGCAAGTAAGTTTTAAGTCTTTTTTTTTCACGACTTGAAAAAGTGAACTTAGTTGCAGTTTATCCACAATTTTAATGTCTAATAATATCCATGTACAATGTAGAAATAAAAAGAAAAAAACAATCTGAATAACTTTTGATCTCATGATATGATTGGATTTTCACTTACTAGGACTCTTTAACTTAATGGTTTAAGGGGATGACCTCAAATATGCTAATTAATAACAATATTTTAAATTGCAAAATCAGGAACAAATATATACTTTCACTGAATAAACATATCACTCAAATAGTTCCTGAGTGTTAGTAATTGTTAATAGTTTTATACCTTACAATTTAAATTTTTTTCGACTATCCTTAAATAAAATAATAAATAAAATCATAAAATAATTTTTATAGTAAGTTATCTGTAAATAAATGAATTTTATAATTGTGAGCAAAATTTTTTCTATTCACTTGAAAAGTTCTCTAGATATAGCGAAATATACAAAAGGTGAAATCAACATTAAAAGATCCAAACTTTGGACTATTCTGGGAGAGTGGAACTGCATATATTGAGGGTAAGAAATCCAAATCCCCTTTTTTAAAAAAAGGTATATTTATTCAGAAAAAGTATGTTTTAGTGTTTGATTTCGTTACTTAAATGATGTTTGCTGGAAGAAAAAAAAACTATTACTCATTTATACTTATTTTGATGTGTAACATTAGACTATTTACTACAGTTAATACCTTATATTTTGTCTTTATTTACTTCTGTTTCTGTTAATTTGTTCTATTTTATATTAAGTTTGTAATTGAAGAGCAGAAGCTATTAGAAAAGTTTAATTTTATTGCTGCATGGAGTAACTTATTTACTTAATAGTTGAGTTGAAAGCAGTAATTAAGGTAATGCAAACATTAAAAAATTACACAAAAACTGCAGCAAATAGTAGAAAGAATCTGAGCAAATAGTAGAAAGAAATAAAAAAATTGCATATATTGTTAAGAATATTAGTTTGCTAGTGCTATTATCATATCTAAATAGATATTTAGATGTTTGAAATTATTTGTTTTTACTTGCATGCTTGTTCTCAGTAAAAAAAAAAAGTAAAATATAGTTGGAATTATAGATTAGTATAAGAAATTGTAATGCTTGGCAAAGGCCTAGTGTCGTCATTTTTTATTACTACTAAAGAGAGGAAAGTGTGATAAACTTTATAATAAGAGAGGAAATTATAAAGAAAGCATTTTATGCTTTACAAATGTATTCATGTCCTCAGTTTCTTTTCTTTTTTTAAAGATTTTTATAACTCTCTCTTCTCATTAGTATTCACAAAAAAGACGATGCATGGCAAAGACCCTAACATCGCAATTTCTAGTGCTAAAAATATTGTATTAACTCCATTTTATGTTTTTTACTCTGAGAATTACATGTGAATAAAAAAAAAGTTTTTTTTTTTCTCCAATGCCCGCCTGAGGAATGACATTTACATACATGCATTTGTTGGCCACTTTTTCAGGGGCACCTTAGTAGGTGGGCCAACGTTGCTCCCACATAAATAAAAAATAGTTAGTGTTGCCATTTAGAAATTTTCATAAAATTTTCTCTGTAATTGTAACCATAAAGGCTACTTAATCATTTATAACACCATTCTTAAGCACTTAGATCATAATACCTTTGTACAAAATTTCATTCCTTTCACTCAAACAATATGTTCTCCATAGGGGAAGTCTGCAAAGTTATTTTGTAATCATTCTGTATATTTATGCAACTATGTACATTAATTTTTTTTAATTATTAATTTACGTGTAGTAAAATAAATTAATGAAGAAAGCATCAATAAATATTTATTCAAATCCTTTTTATAATTTTCTCTATTATAAATGTCGTTTTCAGTGAGTTATTTTGTTATAATTTTATACATTATCATTATTTTAATAAAATATCTTTTGTGATACTTTTGAATAAGTAATCAAATTTTTAAATAATTGGTGTACTTTTACGCTATGGCAACTTGCATTCAATTCAACAATATATTTTTTCCATTAATTACCTTTGTAATAAATTTATACTGAATATGTATATATTACAGATTCTGGTGTTGCTGAGAGAGCTCTTCACTTTGCTAATGGTTACATATTGCGAGAGAGACCTATTATCATAGCATTTGGTAAACAATGATTAGATGACTTCATCATCTTTTTTGATTATAAGTAAGTAACATCATAGCAAACATTATTTAAGCTTAAATTTTGAATTTGGGTTGAAATTTTAAATTTGAATTTTCAGTAAATTTTTATAACATAATCATAAATGCTTTTTAAAAGGCTGCATCACTTTGAATTTTAAATAAATTGGCTATTTTGATGTTATTAAGCTTTTAAACTTTGGTAACCGAGGGTTATCTGATGTTGATTGTAATTTGTTTGGCACTTATTTGTTTAGTGGGGTGCCTGATATAGTTTAGCGAAAATTGCTAAGTTTTATGCTGAATGATTCAGCGAGCTGTTTCTTAAACGTTGGTCGAGTTTTATTTTTGTTCTTACAACCAAAATGAAATGTTGATTGAAAATGGTCTCAGAATTGAGTTTTTTAGAATTATTGGCATTTAATTACTTTTTCAAATGTCAAGCTAAAAGTTTTTGAAATATAATAATGTAAGGACAGGGTGCGTAGCGTTTGTAAAAAGTACTTAAAGGTGCTTTTTTGGGGATTTTGTTTTTAAAAGCTTTTAAAGGTGCTTTTTTCAGCTGGTGCTTTTTTTCCGAATAATTTTTTTTCTTTCCTTCAGTGATATCTGGTGGATCCCATGCATTTCACGAAAAATGGGGAGTTTGCTACGTAATCATTGATGCGGACTTCATGTCGTACCCATGTTATGACTTGCGCATGCGCACACTTGAAACCGAAACACGAGTGCTCCAATTCGGATAGAGAATATCAGATCCTTATGAAATGTTTTTCTTTTTAATTTAATTTATTTTTGTTCTTGTTTATTTTATTTTACTTCTAACACTTTTTTTGACGTATGGGGTAAGGGTACCTTTATTCTGAGTTCAGGGTCAAGTTGAATTCACTCGGTGATGCGGGAAGGTACTGATTGTTTTGATTTACGCCCGTTTGTTTTTTTTTAACACTAAAACTGTTTATAAAAAGTTTTTGTTTTTCAATAATATCATTGATTGAATATGAATTTTTTGAGTGCTTGAAAATTTTTGTAAAGTGCTTGAAAAGTTTTTAAAAAGTGCTTATTTTTGATTCAAAGATTTGGCTATGCACCCTGAAGGATATTTTATTAATATAAAATTTTTACTTCAAATTTTAGGTATTTTATTTCTTTGTGTCCTTTGAAAAACGCAAAAGGCATTAGAAATATTTTCATATAAAATGAAGAAGATGGTATTTCAGTTAGTTTGGTAGATGATACTTTTATTTAGAAATCAAAAAAGACTCAAGACTCTATTAGAATTTTTTTTATTAGGGAATTTATTATTTGTGTGGTCAGAGTTCTCCCTCTAAAAAAGGGCAGGGTACTTCCTCACAGTAAAGGACACACACTTAACACCCTAGAAATTCATCAAATTGTGTGATATTATGTAATAACTGAATTTGATCCTCAGTAATATAAATTAAATAATAATATAATAAACAATAATTCTCACACATTATCAAAACAAGAGAAAATTTTGTAATTTATAAAAAACAACTGAAAGCATGCTAAAAGACAATCTCTGAGCATAATTTTTTTCAAAAACAGTAAACTTAAAATATAAAAAAAAAAAAAAAAAAAAAAAAAAAAAAAAAAAAAAAAAAAAANAAAAAAAATTATTAGTTGATAAACAACTTGAAAGCTTTCTTTTTACAATTTAAACTAAGAAATTATGAAAAAAGGTATTTTTTTTATTTAAAAAAATATTTATTTCAAAATTTTTTTTTTAAATCTCTTAAAAAATTTATTAATATACCTCCCACCTTATGTAAAAATTTAACCAGTTGTGAAAAATCCTAACAAAGCACATATTTATAATAGTAGTCTGTATTAAACCTATGAACGCAGATAATTTTACCAATGTGTGATTATTATTTAAGCAGTTTGTTATTTATTTATTTTTTAAATGGAATGAGTAAAAAAGCAGTGTTTTTCGAAGGTAGTGATGGTTGCTTATTTTTACAAAAAGGGCAAAGAGCATGCATTTTTAGGGATCAAAGGATAGATAGGATAGGCCACCCTTTAAAAAAAAACGTTTAAGGAGAACATTGGTGTGACATCATGTTAAATTTCATCCATTTACTATTAATTTACTTTATATAGTAATGCAGTCACTATATAAAATTATTTAAAAAGAATTTATGTTTAAAAATTTTAAAGTTCAATACATTAGAAAACTTTAAATTTCAATGTAAATGCTACTGTACTCTATTCATTTTTATTTCTCTGAACTACTTTTTTGTTTTGTTGAATAATATTCTTATTTAAAAAAAAATGAAAAATGGAGGAGAGCCTTTTATTGTCTGCAAGAAATGAATTATGCATTTAAATTTACAAAACTATAATAATCAACTCTCTAACTTTTAAATATATTTTTATTGTGAAAATTGCATCGAGGTTTTTTTATTTGCCTTACTTTATTGAAGGAGCGAATTCTGTGGTATTTTATTAATTTTGTTCAGCTCTTGTCCTGTTAATGAGCATAACAGATTATTCTTTTACAAGTTATACTTTAATTTTAAAAAAATTTAGAGTATTAAAAATTCACTTGATTTTTTTTAAAATTTTATTTAAATGCTGAATTAAATTAATGAGAGCATACTAGGGTAAAGTTATATATAGTGGTGTGAATTTTCTGTTTTAATTTAACAATTTTTTTCCATTTTATTACTCTGTTAAAACTGATATTAAATAATGGTTGTTTTTATTTTATTTTACAGGAAAACATAAAAAGAACAGATGATTCATCTTTGGGCATATTAAGATTGGATCAGATTCACAAGTACTGCACCGAGTGTTCTGGTATGCAGCCTTGAGTCTTGTTATTGCTGAGATTTTTCTGGAAAAGAAAAAGAAGTTTTAAAATAAATCCTATAAATAAAAGAAAACAAATAAAATTTGAAGTCTTCTAGGATGGAGGAAATATAAATTGATGCATGAACTTAAAAGGTGTGTGTAATAATAATACTCATAAGAAAGGTGAATTCGAGTTATTTTTCCTTCACTTGCTATGTTTATAATGATATAAATTTCGCATACTTGGACTCGATCTTATTAGTTTGAGGGAACGACCTCAAATATATCAATTTGTGATTGCAGGTGATATAATAAATTACAGAATCAGACACAAAAACATACATTCTTTGAATAAGCATACCTTTTTTCCTGTAGATTTGGATTTCTAACCCTCAATATATAGGGTGTAGCCGCAATTTGGATAATATGTCTTCAATAGTTTGATCAGCAAAGCGGTTTAGAGCGGCTCACAATTCTAAAATTTATTTATCCTAGTATAATTATGCAAAAAAATTATATTTCATATAATAATAATCGATAAAAGTTTGAATTGTGACATATCAAAATTTTTACATCATGTTGAGTGTAATTTTATGTGGCAAAATTTAAAATTTGTGAGTCCAGATTAAAATTAGTCTTTTNAGGGAACGACCTCAAATATATCAATTTGTGATTACAGGTGATATAATAAATTACAGAATCAGACACAAAAACGTATAATAAATTACAGAATCAGACACAAAAACGTACATTCTTTGAATAAGCATACCTTTTTTTCTGTAGATTTGGATTTCTAACCCTCAATATATAGGGTGTAGCCGCAATTTGGATAATATGTCTTCAATAGTTTGATCAGCAAAGCGGTTTAGAGCAGCTCACAATTCTAAAATTTATTTATCCTAGTATAATTATGCAAAAAAATTATATTTCATATAATAATAATCGATAAAAGTTTGAATTGTGACATATCAAAATTTTTAAATCATGTTGAATGTAATTTTATATGGCAAAATTTGTGAGTCCAGATTAAAATTAGTCTTTTATTGACCGTTAAAAGGAATACAATAATAAAATTTTGTGAAACATGTGAGGGCCTATATTAGAATATACATTACAACGGTTGAGTTTTTCTCATTTTTTTTTATTTTTAAAACTTTTCTTAAAAGTCCTATTTTGATGTGCATCATCTTAATTTTTTGGCTTTTTCTTATTACTAAAATCAACAAATGGCTCTACAATACTCAATTAATAATATGTAGACTAAATAAAAAACAAACAAACAATGAATTGGAAATTGGCAAAAGAGATGTTTGGATAGAATAAGTTTGAAATTACTAATCTACTTTGACTTTGCTAGCAGGATTAGATATAACTATTTTCATGACAACTTTTCTACTAACAGTTGTTTCTTTTTTCTTTTTTAAATTTGCAATAAAAATAAATAATTCAACATGTAATGGTTGAACTATTTTTTTCCCCTTATATGTTGCAAGTAGTGTTTGTATATCATTTGCTGAAGATACAGTTTCTGTATTTTCGATGGAGTGTTATGCCAACTTAGGGTTGAACATAGTCAAATAGCTATAAATAGGGTAAATATAATTTTTAGGAAATGCATGTGTACACGAAAATTTATTTTAAGTATTTACCATCCGTTTTGCAACAAATAAATGGCATACGACCCGCACAGTCGTGTTGGAAATAGTAATGTTTTGCCTTCTTTTTGCTGTATGTGAAAGGAAACACAGCGCTCTTGCCTACAAAAAATTAAATAAACATTCAATAAATATCTGGTTAAGTAAATAAAAAAAAGTATCTTGTTATTCCTGTCAATGCTGGTAATTGCTTGAATTTTAAAAAACAAAATAGAAGTTATGTAATGCATTGCATGTAAACTATTGAAAATTAGTTTCTTTTTTATTAATTTCTGAATGAGGGAAGGGATTACAAAAGGAACTCTGGTCTTTGAATACGGATTAAAAAAATTCAATAGAATGGGAAGTTCAATAGAAGTTCCTAGTTCAATAGAATTTCAATAGAACTAGGAGGCTCCGCCCCCTGCTCGCTAACGCTCGCCAACCCCCGAGAATTGCTAAGCAATCCTATGTGGTTCACGCCTTGAACCATGGCTCGCTGCACTCGCTCGCCAATGAACACAATGTTCTAGCACAAAGACATAATATATTATCATCAAAGACATAGTATTTT